AAAGATTCCAGTACTTAACAGTCTGTTTTGCTTTTTGTTAAAATAACTATGAGCCACTTCCTAAGGCAGTGTCTCTCAATTAGTACATTCTACAACTTTGGTGACTTAAAAAGCTTTCCTGGATGAAGTACGGAAGTGATAAGCCTAATGACAATATGTGAAATGATTTTAGAGTGATGTTTACCATGCCTGCTTTACTTTCTCCTTTCTGAAAAGTATTCTTTCTTCATGGTGCATACCTCTTTCCATTAGGTGCCACATGTCAACATAAAACTCAGCAATACCCAATACACTGCATTTTCTCTTCCAACTCGCCCCAACCCTCCTCTTTAATCTCTCTTCAAAAATCTCTTCTCAAATAGCTAACTCAAAAAATTTCCATCAAATATATTAAGTTAATAAAACAGCAGCTTATCCTTAGCCCAAAGGTACAAATAGCTTATGCAGGAACTCTATCATCAAAGGATCCTTTCTTATAATGCAGATCTCACAAAGGTGACAGGAAATAAAATACACTGAGAACAGGCAGAAAGGTGTAATTGTGCCTTTTGCGCTCTTCCTCTGCTCCCATGCTGTAATGTCAAGATGGAACCACTGATTCAACGACAAATTAAATCTCCCAGAAAAATTCTCTATGAAGACTTGGCAGGCACAGAATCCTTTCATATCTCTTTTCTCCTGCACAAGAACTAATTACTGATCATCAGCAAATTAAAGGGTTTATGTTCATAAATATATGTTAAAAGCTACCACCCACTCAATGGTTACTTTACATGAGGAAAATTAAAATGAATCATACCTAGTTTAGGTACTTAAGTAAGCATTATTTACCCATTCTTCAGTCAGCAAGGGATAGATACTACAGGTTCCTACAGATAAAAAGGGTTCACTGCCACACTCTCAATGAGGGAGGAAATAGTATGAGTGGTCAAAACTGTTATATAATATTTTTTACATATATATAATATATTATATATATATATATATATATATATATATATATGTAGTCAGTTACTGTTTCAGTTAGTCTTTACCTCTGAATCAGAGGTCCATGTCTAAAAAAATGAGCATATTTTGAGCATTTCATTTAGGGGATACAGATTTAATTTTACATCTCTGGAACAGACACTTTCAATTACTTACTTTCTAAATTTTATACAAATTTATGTAAACTTTATATAATTTATACAAAGTGTTACCTTTGAGATAAGCCTGATGCTGAATGAAGATGGGCAACTGCCATTATTTAGTGGCTCCTATACTACTTCTATGTGCAACTGCATAGGTATACTGAGCTCCTTTACATAAAAATCAAGCTATTAAGAACTAAAATTATGGGGCTGGGGGTTTAGCTCAGCGGCATAAGCACCTGCCTTGCAAGCAGGCAGTCATGAGTTCGATCCCCGGTAAAAAGAAAAAAGAAAAAGGGGGAAAAAAAAAAGAACTAAAATTATTTTCTACTTTTTTGTTTATTCTTTCATCTGTACACACTTTTCCAAGTGCCACCATTCACTAACAAATAACCATCTCTTCACGATTTTTGTTTTAGGAATTCCTAGGTTCCATGTTATAAACATTTTACACATGTAAAGTTACACTCTTAAGTGATAAGGTTGGTTTGTATGGTTCTCTTCAAGAACAGCACCATGCTTGCCTTTTATTTTTACTGAATATATTTTAACATAAAGAATTCAAGATCAGGGGCTGGGGATTTAGCTCAGTGGCATAAGCACCTGCCTTGTAAGCAGGTGGTTGTGAGTTCTTTCCCTGGTACCGATTTAAAAAGGAAGAAGAAGAAAGAAGAAGAATTATTCAAGATTTATAAAACAATCACACAAAGAAAGTTTAATTTCCAATTAGTAAATCCAAAAGTAGATACATCTTTTCTGACACAAATGATTTTCATTCATTCAACTATAAACAGATAGATATAACATAGATATAGGCAAACAGAGAGACAGATACACTCACAGATCTGGCTCACAGACATACATTAAACGACACTGTTAAAGCAGGCACACTCTATTCCAATAGCTGTTTTAATAAATGCTGCTTTTTGTCTGATGAAAATTCCAACATAGGGGCTGTGGATTTAGCTCAGCAGCATAAGCACCTGCCTTGCAAGCTCGTGGTCATTAAGTTTGATCCCTGGTACCGATTTTAAAAAAAAAGATTCCAACATAATGAGAGAAGTTACTATTTCAGAAAAATTTTCACTTTTAGACTGGATTTCAGCAACAAGAAAAAATGTTTAACAATATTAGTGCATATGAATATGTAAGCAAAAATATATTCCTCTAACTCAAATTTGTATGTGTACCAAAAACATGTGTGAGAAATAAACCATTATTCCAAATTTAACCAAAGAATTGTTTCAATATAGAAATACCTGTTTTATCTCTCATTTTGGGAAACTTCATATGCAGGGATAAGGCATGCATATTTAGTTTCTACCTCACCTCAATCTGTCCAAGGATTCTGATGTTATAACATGGGAAACTAACATTATATATCAAGCTGTTTCAAATGTTACTATGACTAGGCTATAAAACTGTCATCATAAAAAAAACTGCCATCAGTTAAAATTCTCACTGGAAATATGTCATGCAATAATCTTAAATATATACACCATGTAAATACCATAGCTACACCAGTTATATTTCATTATGCCCTGTCCTTAAGTTTAATAAAAATATCAAATTCTCCACATGAGCTAGGGTAGCAATGACCACTAATTCCAATATAAGACAATCTTCTCCCTTCCCAACTCAGAAATTTTGAGGGAAAAGAACTCAGGGTATGCCAGCAATATTAATTAATATTATATAATCTATAGATCGTAATTTTTATAGTATTGTTTCTTTATGTTTTCAAAAGTATTTAAAGTTGTATCTTTGGTAGACTTACATGTTTTCAGATTATTTACTACCAACTATTATGAGAACATAAAAGTGGCTTATCAAGCATAAGTGAACCTTTTCATGTTAATGTGCTTTCATAAAACTGTACAAATATAATCCTACTGCAAATGTAGTAAGAAAAATTACTACCATTTACTTAAAAGCACACAGGCAAACCAAGGAAAAAACCTTTTGTAATGTCAGTTGTCCTTTGGATATACGTAGGTTTTGGATGTCTACGTTGTTTTAACAGACTTTTCTTAAGTAAGCACTGTCACTGTATAGCAAGCTGCACAAATTCAGAAAGAGGGAATTCTGAGTTTTTTTTCCCCCTGTGGTAAGTAAAAGCAGTCTGAGGGCAATCTCCTATTTCTTTTATTATGTACATCACTTGAAAGCCTGCTTACGGCGAGGACTTTTAATACAGCCATAAAAATGATGAATTTGTAGATTCAGAAAAAGGAAAACACACTAAATCCACTGCATCTATTTTCCCCCTGTAATTATCTTTCACTGTCTTTATCCTCTAAAGGCGGCTCCGGAGTAGTTTCTAATAAAAACCACGAACAAGGATGTTCTTTTTAAGTTTGGAGTAAGTTTTGGGAACTGAGGCAGAATTTGTCCAGTTCTGTTCTTATTTCATGTTTCTTTACCTAGGATACATATGCAAACGTAACGCAATAAAAGAAGAAAGATTCTGTTTAAAACAACAACAGCAGCAGCAGCAGTAACATAAGTCAGTGCCCCTAAAGACAGAATCTTAAAGCAAGGTTATGGGATTTTTAGCCGCTCGGTTCTCAAAAGAAGTGAGGGTAGAAAGTGACCAGATCATTCATGTGGTCAGTAGCCAGGGAGGGGCTCAAATTCTGGGGTCTGGGCTCCCACGCCTGCCCCTTCCACACCTGACCCGCAGAAGGGAGGTCACGGCCACGGCGGCTCCCAGGGGCGGCGCGCGCACCAGGTCCACACTCACTAGGCAGAGGCGGCGCTGCAGGACAGACGCGCGGCGGGAGAGGACGCCCGAGCGAGCGCTGCAGGGAGATGACCCGGGGGGCGCGCGCAAGGGGGCGTCCAGAGGCGGGGAAAGGGGCCTGACTCTCACCCTTGTCGCACGCCAGCAAGAAAAGCTTCTCATTGAGGGTGTTCTCCTCCTTCACCTCCCGCACATCCTTCAGCGCCATCACTTCGTTCGGTGACGAAGAGGAGGATGGGGAGGAAGGCAGGGAGGAGGAGGAGACGCCCGAGAGGTCAGTGCTCGGGTACAGGGCCGCCATCATCGCGGCCCATGAAGGGGGCAGGCCAGGAGACGGGGGCTGAGCCCTCATGGGCCCGGACCCCGACCCCAACCGCGCCCCAGGGCTGGAAAAGGGGTGAGTCGTTCCTACAGCCGCCTCCGCGTGCGGCCCGTTGGCCCCGCAGGGCGTCGTCTCCCCTCGGAGCCAGCACTCGCCCTCCACTGATAGACCCAAGCTGGTGGCAGCGCATGCGCGGCCCCGGGGCCAGCGCCCCCTCCCCAGCCGGCGGCGTCCGGGCCAGACTGGTCCGCGCCCGTCCGGGGACGACAGAGTGGAGCGCGCCAGGGCGGCAGCCGAGTGCGGGGCCGTGCCACGAGCAGCAAAGGCCGCGCAGGAGGCGGCTGGGCCGGGGAGGAGGGCGAGGTCGATGGGAGAGGAGCTCAGTGACGCGCTCTGCGCTCTGACTCCAGGGCTGTCCCAGTTGCGCCCAGAGGAGACAGATGTTCGCGGCTCTCTCCTCACGTCATCCTCATCTCCACTGTAGCGACGACACCGGGGCGGAGCCTACAGCCAGGGCGGGCTCTGTGGGCGGGGCCCTCCGCGGGGCGGGCTCGAGGGACGCCCCGCCCTGCTCCTGGCAGCAAGCTGCAACTGCTAGGCTTCGCGCAGCGGAATGAAGCTGAGATCCCCGGCCCCGTCGCTCTCCACACCCAGGTTGCGGGTTTGAAGTAATTTCTCCGCCGTCTTGCTGCACATTTAGCAAATATACAGCGGTATGCTAACTGAGCCTCTGACGACTTAACGTTTTATGGAAACTGCATGTGGCAGTGTACTTCATTCTGGTGCACACCGCTCACAGCAGAGGAGAGAGCTCCGCAACGCTGCCAGACTTGAGGGTTTGTCTGTAAGTACACTGGGCTGGTTACCCTCATTTCCAAAAGTCATATTTTGTTAGTGTTTGTTTGCGATCTGAAATTGACTTATTCCTGAATTATTCACTTAATTTTCCTGATGTCACATTTACTTGTGTATATTTCACAGGTGTTGACATGTAACCATGGGATAAGCACATTTTTAAGGACCTACTCATCACCTTCCCTCATTTATTGCATCTGATTTTAACAATTGCATCGGTTATTTAGCCTATTGATGAATGAAGCTCAGTAAGTGTCACTTCTTTGAATCGTGTATTTTCAGTCAAACCTTTATGTAAAGCAGAATTATATTGTTTTCCATCTTTAAAAGTTAGGAGGAAAAATGGAAATTACATCAGAAAAGTTCTTACTTCCCACAAATCCACTATAGAAAAAGAACCTGAATTTTGCCTTTGAGACTTTAAATTTGCTGGGAGTGATGGCACACTCTGTAATCCCAGTACTTAGGAGGCTGAAGCAGGCGTGTCTCAGCGAGTTCAAGCCCAGCCTGGGCTACATAATGAGTTTAGGCCAGCCTGAATTACATAGCAAGGCCGAGTCTCAAAAAAAAAAAAAAAAAAAAAAAAAAAAAGCCTTGGATTTTTAAGGCAATATATAATTTACTCAGAGTAATCCCATTCAGGGTGATTTGTTCAATTCCTATCCCTACCAACAGTTTAACTCCCAAATATAACTTTGTCTAATTATTCAAAGTCCTCTTTCAAGCTTTTAAAAAAAAGGCATTAGCAGTTGCCAAGACTGCTTACCTTTCCAAATATTTTGTTTCCTTGACAATGGTTGGTTATTTATTGAATCTTTTTATTTTTTTCTGCCTTCTATACAAATGTCCCGAATGTGTAATGTTTGTTTTCATTTTGTTTGGTTTCTTTTGGTACTGGAAATCGAACTGAAGACCTTGAGCTTGCCAGGCAGGCATGGCACAGCTAAGCTATATCCCCAGCCCTCCGATTGTAATGTTTACTAAGTTCCAAATTTGTGTATTTGATGGCATGTCAGGATTTCTCATTGTAAATTTGCAGCCAGTGAATACAGAGGTGCATATTTATGTGTACATGCTAATACACTTTGTAGTTCAGCAAAATGTCTATAGTCAGCAGCGGAACAACTCTAACTCTGCCCATTATTGGAGATTCAGATGACTCAGACAGTGATAGATAGATGCATCCATACATACATATATTGATCCAATACTAGACTTCCTGGAAAGACAGACAGATACTATATAGAGACAGACATTGTTTTGCCTTTTACACTGAAGATTTTTCAACTATCTGGGCTTAGATTATACTTTCTTCAGAGGATTCTCATGGAGGCTGGATTAATTTTTAAGAGTTGAGGGAATTCCAGCCCACTTAATAGATAATCCTAGAAGATACTTCAAAGTATTTTTGAACTGTATTTGCTTTAAAGTAAGCCAGTGTTATAATTTCACTCTATTCTTCAAAAAGTTTTCGAGTCATCGCAGATGCAGAATATCGTCCTCTTGCCTCTCTAGTGAACTTTATCTAGCAGAGATTGACATGCTGTTTAGTTTACTCTGCATATGTGATATGAAGACCAATGATACAGAGACCAATGGTAGTATTATGAACAACAGTATGTTAGATTCAGAAGTAGTTCATTACTCAAACTAATCCAAATCACGGATACTAAAAGAGAAGAGCAGTTACAACTCCAGTCAGAGAAGCGATAAAATACAGACTGAGATCTAGTCTTACAAGTAGGTTAGACCTGGCTACATTTTCAGACTCTCCTTTTCCTCAGGTCACATTTACCTGTTTCTTTTATATAACGCCTCCAAACCTCTTCCTGAATCTTGGCAGTTGTTTCTGTCTGCTAAACACTGATGGTCCATATAAAACATCTTTACAGAAACTTTCCCTAACCACCCAAATTAATTTCCACCTCAGTTCCCAAGTCAGTTACTATCACTTTTCTCTGCTTTAATTCTCCTATTGCAGTATCATTAAAACTCCTGTTTGATTATCGGTTCTCTCTCTTCACTAGGATATAAGATTGAGAGACTTTGTCTGTATTTTTCTCAGCTGTATCTCTAGTGTCTATTATAGTCACTGGATCACAGTAGACAATAAATTTATGTTAGTGAGTTGGATGATTCAGTCAGGTTATTTCAATACAAACTAAATTTGTAGTATGCACACAGTTGGTCTTTAATAAAATTCTTAATATATGAAGATAAAAAACTATCCTTATCACCAAATAAATGATCTAATAGAAGTTTTGTTTTATTCTGTTTCCTTTTTTTTTTTGGTACGGAGAATCGAACTCAGGGCCTTGTGCCAGGCAGGCACAGTGCCACTGAGCTACATCCTTGGAATTCTTCTGCTTTCATTTCTGAGGAATAAGGTTAGAACAGGTTAATTTTTAAGACTGTATCTTTCTTTAAATGAAATACTGACACATTGGTACATACAGAGCGTTTTTTATTAAATATACTTTGTGAGAAAAACCAACACCCTAAAGTGCCAAATTTCATGTAAATCAGATAGTAAATCCAATGATGGAAAAGAAAACTAAAGAAGGAAGCATGATTTAAATAATTTCATAAAAGGACAAACTTTCATCTTCATATAAGGAAACAATCATCAAAATATAAAAGAGAAAGCAAGCTCTTTTGTAGAAGAATATATATTTCAAAATTCCACCTGTTGGTCACTTCACTTTAAAAATCTGAATCTAAATGCATTGAGTACTCTCTGACTATGTTTTAATCAATAGTATAAGGAGAATTTAGACTATTGATTCACACTGAGGTCAAGTGATAGCATTTTTGTGGCATAAAAGTATTACTGGCATTAACAGTGAAAGACAGATGAAATGCTTTTCTGGATTCAATTGTGAGCAGCAAAATTGGTCTGTTAAAAATTCAGAAAAAAAAAGATGTCATACTTTAGTAGTTCCTAAGAACACAAGCATTAAACAAACATTGCCAGTTCACAGGCAACTATAAAAGAAAAATATGAAATTACTGTATGTGACTACCAGCTAAGTTGCTTTTTACTAAAGATATTCAATGGGCATTGTAACATATATATAGTGTATATAGTTTTCATTATAGACCTAAACTAGCAAGTGTAATAATAGAAAGCTAACAGAAAAATGTCACCATGATTTGGGATGTTCCAGCCAGTGTTTGGCTACAAGTATCTGGAAGGAGTCAATTGAAAAATAACTATCAGCACATTCATAATGAATACTTGTGAAATCTTCATGAATCAGATATCCAAAAACTGAAAAGTGTTACCACACATTTTAGGGCCACAATAAATAAAAGTTTGGCTGACTGACCAATTAAACATTTAAGAAAACCTGGGTAACTCAGGTGTAACACATACACACACACACACACTCTTCTCTGATATCTTATCAACACACAGTATATGCTATATATCATAAGTAAAGCTGTATTGCCAAAGTAGGATATGTAAATTAGCAATGCAGTTAAAATTAAGTTTTAAGTAAAAAGTTCTTGCTACTTATATAAGACAGTGAACTTTGATGTCCATTCAAGAATTAGTTCTCATATATAAAAGAGTTTAATGTTAATGAACAATACTTGTCACTTTAAGATTTGAGATAGTACAGAATTTACAGAAAGTTTTAGACCACATATACAGTTTGAGGGAGAAAACAAAAGGATTAGACTTTGAAAACAATTCTGACAAAAATTAACACACCAAAAAATAATCAAAACATATTTTATAGCAAAACCTGCAAAATGTTTTTGTATTGCTCATTTTTGAACCATGAAAAAGAATGAATTATTTTTTAATAAGACTTCAGGGAACAAAATAATTTAATCATGAAATATCATCTTGATAATGAACATATTCTATTATCCAGCATTGATTAGTAAATTTAACTATGTTGCCCCCAAAAGTTGACAAATTCTAATATGAACAAGATATTAAATTAAGGAATATATAACTGTTTTGAGCATACAAATATTCTGATTTTATACCCACTACATTTCAGAATTCTGTAAACTGTGAGGCATTCAGTGTGTTTCATGTGGCAGATCACACTAGTTTCATTATTTTATTCTATTCAATCCTTTTCCCATTAAGCATGCAAACACTGTCATAACCATCTTTGGTTTTACTTCTACAAGATCATCAGGTAATGCGTATATCCGGGCACCAATCTTCCGAGCAACTGAAATGGCGTATCTTGAAAAGACAAGAAAAATATCTTGGTATTTGTCAGCTACTATGTTTTCATTTAACACACTATTACAAAAGAATAAATATTTTTGAAACTAACTTTACAAAAAAGTTAAGGTTATAATATTTTGTTTTGTTTTGTCTTGAACTCCCAGTGAGCCTCCTGCCTCAGCCTTCCAAGTGCTGGGATTACAGGCTTACATCATCAAGCCCAGTAGGATTATGATTTCTAAATCATATTCCCCTGTAAGTTGTAACTAAAAATGTGAAACTTTTCCTTTAAGGATTTGAGAGAATTAAAAAGCCACTATGTTATAATGTAAACAGCAGGGGCTTACTTAGCATTGTTCAGTTTGTCTTCATCAGAAAGGTTTTCTCTCTTGATCATTTCTTGACGAACTGCATTTGGTACAATGGCATCTATTAAATCTAGGACAGGTAAACTTGTGCTAATAGATTTATCCTAGAAATAAAGAATAAACATTTGTGAACATTCGCTTTAATTTTCATGAATATCAGCATCTTCTGGTTATAGTTGTTTAACTGAAGGTAATCTATCAATTTTCTTTATGCCTAATTTTAAACTTTTCTGCAATCAGCACATATAATGAACCACTTAAAATATACTTTCCCTTCAGTCTATACAAATAATAGTGTAGAGAATGTCACTATACCTCGGTAAGGTTTGTTGACATGACAGTTCTTAAGTATGCTAACTATAGTATTCATTCTGTAAAAAACAACTTTTGGGCCCGGGGATTTAGCTCAGCAGGAATAAGTGCCTGGTATGAGGTCATGAGTTTAATCCCAGTACCAAAAAAAAAAAAAAATCTTTTGAAAAGGAACAGGAAATAAATTATTTTACAGATCATGATAATACTATGTTTCTTAGACCATAAATTCCTAAGCCTTCAACTAATATTTTTCAGAAAGAAAAAGGGATCTAACATTTACAAAGGCATTGTTTAATATTTTTAAAATCCTAAAGTTCTACTAACAAGAGAATTACAATTCCCGTTTAAAGATGAACATAAAATTCAGAAAGCTCCAGCAACTTCTTTAACATAACCAGTAAGCATAGAACAAGCATATAGCACTTTGACGCTAATGCTCCTTTTATAAAGTTACCTCCAAAGTAACTAAATTCTAGTGGATACAATGCTGTCATTAACCAAAATCCTGACCTGTATAAACTTTCCTACTCACCACTAACAAATTATTCTTTCTTGGATTGAATAATGGTCACTCACTCTTTACTGCAGTCTCTACTCTAATAGAACCCATATTTTTGTTGTGTACCTATACCTTTCTCTTATGAACATGTGCTCCAAGGAATGCTGACCCCATTCAAAACTCCAGGAGTGAACCTGAGCCTAGGCTGTGTGGTTTCAATGAAGGCAGGGTGATAGATTTACTCTTTTTATGTACAAAACACACAGTACACAAATAGATATAATAGGTATATCTCTTCATTAAAATTTCATTGGGAAATGGCAATTTAGAAAAATCGTCTCCTTAAAGGATCAATAATGAAAAAAATTGAAAACACTAGTATTTGCTTAATAAAGTAATACTATGCGATTATCACAATGGTTTTAATTTGGGGCTAATTTAGCCTCTAGAAAGCAAGCAACCGCTCCACCTAGATGCAAGTGAGAGGATATAACCTGTCAGCAGCTATCCTATAACCAACAGAAGAACCAGCTCTTAGAGTGTGGTTGGCATGTTAGATGTTTGCAAAGCAGAGATGGGGAAAAAACTTAAGACCTGAATGACACTGTTCAGGTCCACTGCTATTGGTACAACCTGGCCTGAAATCTACTCCACCTCTGGATTTCTCTTACTGTAGCCAGTACCCTCCCCTTTTTGGTCTAAACCACTTTACACTGGCTTTCTGTTTCTTGAAGCGAAAAGCACCCTTTCCTAATCTCAGAAATGGTAATCTAACACAATCCTTGGGAATATTAAGATAATACAGATAAAAGTATCTAGTACAGTCCCTAGCTAAATGTGGATTCTAATGTTGGACAAAATAATTTGCAGCCATATGAAGAATAATAGGTTATGATTTGTGAGCCATGTAGTTTTACAAAGTTTTATGTATTTTTTTTCTTGGTACCAGGGATTGAACTCATGACCTCACTCTTACAAGGCAAATGCTTGAGCTACTAAGCTAAATCCCTGGCCCCAAAGTTTTATATTTTTAATAGGAATGTTTATATTCAAATTTAGAGGAGGTAGAGATAGAAAGCAAAAATAGGGCTGTTAGATCTACCTGATGCCTGTAATCTGGATCTAACTTTGGTTCATCTGTATTTCTGAAAACCCTTCATACCTGTTTCTCATTATATAGTCTGAAAACCACTTACTTACATGAAAATCACTTGGGGTACATATTAAAAGTGCAAGCTTCAGGCTGAGGGTTTAGCTTAGCAACACAAGTGCCTACCTGGGAAGTGCAAGGTTGTCAGCTGGATCCCCGGTACCAAAAAATAAAAGTGCAAGTTTCAGACTTGAGATGTGTGGCTCAGTGCCAGAGCCAGGGCACTGCCTGGTTTGTGCATTACATCCACAGTAGCACCATACACAAAAAAAGTGTAAAGTTAGCCCCTCTCTCAAATTAGTAAATCAGGCTGTCTATGGATGAGGCTGAGAATGTACATTTTAATAAACTTTCTAGATGACTCTACACTTATACTTTCTAAAACTGAACTTACTTTAAAATAAATTCAAATTTCTATAGTCTTACCTTTCACGTATTTCTAATATGATGATTCAGGAACATGATTTAATTGTGGCATATTCTAATTATTTGCTGTCATGGTTTATGTTTGTGTCATCCCCCAGGCCTCATGAGTTTGCATTGTGTATTTGTGATTGCTTCATTGTCTAGTGCTTGGATTGATGGTGTCAGTGCTCCACCCACCTAGGGGTGGAGCCAGGATGTGATGTAATGGCAGGAAGAAGGTATGTCTTTCTCTTTGCCGGTTCCTGTTTTGCTGTTTGCAGCCGCCATGAATTGCAGCCCAGCCATGCCTACCTGTCTTGGAGCCAAGTAAGTGTGGACTGAAACCTCCAAAAACTGTAAGAAATAAACCTTTCCTTTCCCAACTTGGGCTTCAGATATTTTGTCTCAGCAACAAGTAAAAAGTAACTAAGACATTTGCATATTTGTGTCATTTTAAATACTTTTTTACTTAGGTTTAGTAAACAATTTTTTCTGCCTACTTTCTTAGGAATCTCCTTAGGGAAAGCTTTTACTACTTCAATTTTAAAATTTAACCCTCCAAAAGATTATATCAGATCCTTTCTTATTTCCAAGAAAACAGGTTTATCTTCCAACTTCTCTGATTTGTATATTATCAGTGAGATATTTTATCCTTAGCTTGATATATAAATACATTTGCATCATATATCCTTTTACTTTAACTATGTTAGTTGTAAATTGTCAGTGAAAACAATTTCTAGGATCTTAAAGAGAATAAGCCTAGAACTTAGCTTGACTTTCAAGATAAAGGATTTTTTTTCATAATTTGATAAATATTACTCTTAAAGCATTCCATCCACTGTTCTTCCTGTCATTTTTAAAAATAAAAATGGAAAAACAGTGGTGTGGCCACCAGAGTTCCTAAAAGGCTTAACAGGAACACCGCCATATATGAAGCCCGGTATCTACTGGCAGTGCCAACAGTGTAGTAAATCCCATTTGTTGAGCCCTTTTTAAAATGCTTAACATTTAACCTGAGCATGGTGGCACATGCCTGTAATTGCAATACTTGGGAGGGTGAGGCAGGAGGATTGCTGTGAGTTTGAGGCCAATCTGGACTACAAAGTGAGTTCAAGGTCAACCTGAACTGCATAGTGAAACCCTGACTCAAAAACAAGGGTGGGGGTACTTAAGATTTATTAAAACTTGCTTAGTCTGACAATCTTACTAAGATAAGTATTATTAACATCTCCATTATTTTAGATATGATAAAACTAAAACAGAGAAAATAATAACTTGCCCAACATCACACAGGTATTAAATGCTGAACAAGACTTAGTTTTGTTCATCAACAGATGTAGCCAGCTACTAGTTTAAGCTGCTGAAGGTTTTTTAATATGCTCCCATATCCCCCTTAGCTGATCTTGTATATGATTCTACTGACACCCTATATTGTGATTCTTTTTTTTTCTTATTTGTCTCTGTCATGGTTTACATCTGTGGTCCCAGGCCTCATGCATTTGCATTATTCATTTGTGATTGGTTCATTGTCTAGCTCTTAAATTGATGGTGTCAGTGCTACACCCACATAGGGGTGGAGCCAGCATACAGTGTAATGGCAGGAAGAAGGTGTGTCTCTCTCCTGGGGTTCTGCCTTGGTATTTGCAGGCACCATGAATTGCAGCTCCACCATGCCACCCTGCCTTAGAGCCAACTGAGTAGGGACTAAAACCTCCAAAAAGTGTAAGAAATAAACCTTTCCTTTCCCAACGTTGGGAATCAGCTATTTTGTCTCAGCAACAAGTAAAAAATAACTAAGACAAAATTTGGTACCGAGAGTAGGGTCATTTGCTGTGACTCTACCTGACCATATTTTTCAAGAGGCTTTAAAAATGGCTTGTGGGCAGAGTTTAAAAGGTTCAGACATGTCCTCTGGATGCATACAATTGAAGCAGCTTAGGCTGTTTTATAAAGGAGATTCTGGTCAGAGTTCAGGAGACTAAAAGGCTGATAAAAAGCCTGATGGTAAAGACCAGGCTTGGGAGATTTCTGCTGGAAAGAAGAACTGCATTGGTTGTTGGACTCCCCATGATGTGTGTTATGGCTTGGCAGAAAGTTTCTCTGCATCTTTCTCATGCCCAGAGACTTTGCCTGAGACTGAGACTAAGGGCAATGGACTGATTATTCTGGCAAAGAAAATTACAAGGCAGTCAAATGTTGAGGCTGTGGCAAGGCTATTGTTGGGGGCTTTTAGCCAGCTTTATATTGCAAATCAAGAGCAAAGAGCCAAGCAAGATCATTTACAATGCTGTGAATTTGGCCAGAAGGAAAACTCCAGTAAAGCTATGGAATGTAAAGACAGAGTTGAGATTTTGATTGCTAAGGAAGAACAGAGAGACAAAAAAGATGGCCATGGGGCATTCCAGGAAACAGCAGCCTCAAAACTGCAAAAGTAAAAAAATTTGCTCAAAGGAAAAAGCTGCAGAGCACTATGCTCCAGAATGGCAATGGAGGCCACATGAGGTTCCAAAATGGCAACAACATAGAGAAGCTTTTCTTCACCATCAGGTTCATAGAGCCCAGCAATCCAGGCAATTTAGCCCTAAAGCCAAGAGAGAAAAAAGCCTGGCTGCTGCTCTAGCTGACAGCAAACCTTGGCGGCATCCACATGGCACTGATTTTAGGTGCAAGAAAAATGCACAAGTTCTGAGGGTAAGATGGCTTCCACCTCGATTGCAAAGGGTCTGGGAGGCTAAACAGTGGGCCCCTCAGAGGGCAATTTATAAAGAAGTAAGGGTAAAGCCAAAGATACAGTGGAGACCCTAAAAGTTTTAAAAAGCCAAAAACATAGTTAATCCAAAAGAAGTTGCAAAAAGTGAGCAGAGAGGGTTTAAGAAAAAAGCAGCAATCGCTAAAATCCCTGAAAGTGCCATGGGGGTAAAATCACCCAAGCCTTTTAGTGCTTATAACCAGACTGCTTCAAATGCTAAACATAAAACTCTAAGACTTAATATTTGCCCTGTTGGATGTTGGACTTGCTTTGTTTCCAATGCTTTATATTCCCCTGTTTGTAACTTTTGGAATGATAATGTTTATCTTGTGCCTTTACATTTCAGAAATGTTTAACCTTGTTAAATTTGTACAGGGGGTTATAGTTAAGAGTTTGCCATAGATCTTAGAGGAGACTTGGGACTTGGACTTTTCAACAATGCTAAAACTGTGGCAACTCTTAGAGATGGACTAAATGTCTTTTGTATAAAAGATGTACATGAGTCCTGGGGGCCAGGGGTGAAATGTCATAGTTTATGTCTGTGATCCCCAGGCATCATGCATTTGCATTATGCATTTGTGATTGGTTCACTGTCTAGTCTTAAATTGATGGTGTCAGTACTATACCCACATAGGAGTGGAGCCAGCATTCAGTGTAATGACAGAAGTCTCTCTCTTTTGCCAGTTTCTGCCTTGCTGTTTATAGCCACCATGAACTGTGGCCCCGCCATGCCACCCTGCCTTGGAGCCAACTAAATATAGACTAAAACCTCCAAAAATTGTAAAAAATAAACTTTTCCTTTCCCAACTTTAGGCATCAGGTATTTTGTCTCAGCAATGAATAAAAAATAACTAAGACAGTCTCCTTCCCTGAACAGTGAGCTCTTTGAGGCCACACTATAACTACAGTAACTAGCAAGACACCTGTCACAGGGAAAGCTTTGACAATTTCAGGATTGATTGAGCAGTATGTCATATAGCTAAGCCAAAAGTGAAACCCATGGCCATGCAATTTCAAAGCGTGGCTTCTAATCTATAGGTAGATAGAGATGGACATGAAAACCAGCTGTTCTGCTTAAGAGTTATGACAACAGGTGAGTTATTTGACTTCTCTAATGTTTACCTTTCTGAGAGAAATAATGTGTAAAATGCTTAGTTCAGTAATGTATAGGACCCAGAAAAGTTAATTTTGATCCTTATTGTTTGCTAATGTATTGCCTCCCTGTCTTCTTGGTGAGGGAAAATTACTTTGCAACTAAAAAGGTTAAATTTTTCTTTCCTGAAATGTCTAGTAATAGCACTGCCTTGATTATGTTTAATATGTTCTAACTAGTATCAATTATTTTAACATTTAGGCAATGCCTTCTATGGCTGGGTTTTTCTCATTAAAAAAATTTTTTTTTTAAAGAATCTTCACTAAACAACACTTTCTGGGTGTTTCTGCTTCCTGTGTTTTAAGTAAAACAATGCTCTCAAGTCTTCTGTTCTCTTTAAGTATTTCCCTTAAAGTTTGTGTGCTCCCATTTTTCCATATTCTTTTTTATTCAGCTCATCTCCAAATCAGTATTCCCAGCTATGTCTCCTTTCATCTAACTGCCATCTCCTAAATCTTACCTCAATCTCAATATGCTTGAGTTTGAATTCATCCCCTTTTCCAGAAAACCATGGCACTTCTTGATATCTCCATTTCTGTTAGTGTTAGCATCTGTTTTTCCAAATTAACCAAGCCAAAACAAGAATTCTGTCTCGTCTCTTTTCCCCCAGCTTCTCTACATCAAAAAGCCAATTCCTATCTGTTAATATACAAAAGCTCATAGATATCCATTCTTAACTTTCCAAGTGCCTACCCTCAACTCCATTCAGAACTCTCATGTTATATCTTTAGTTCAGCCTTGGATTCTTACGTACTCTTCTTGCATTTACACCATCCTGCCTCCAACCTATCCTGCTTATCATACATAAATTAGTATTCCTAAAAGAAAAAACCTTTTCATTACTCCTTTTACTCAATATTCTTACTCACAATTGAATTATTGTACAATCTTGACTTAGTCTGTATTTTGCACAGCATTTGTTAAAAACCATCCTTTGGGGATTTAGCTCAGAAGCATAAGTGCCTGCCTTGCAAGTGCACTGTCGTGAGTTCGATCCCCAGTAACAAAAAAAAAAAAAAAAAAAACCATCCTCTGTATCCAAAGTACTTTTCCTAACCTAAGACTTTATTTTATTCAGCATGGACCTTCTAGCTTATTATACCATTTTCCTGACCAATTCACATTGTTCCTCCATTTGATGTTCAAAATCAACTTTCTCCAACCACTCTATGACTAATGAGTGGGAAATGATCAATTAGACTTTACCCATGATAATAATGGTAGTATTACTTGGATCTTAAGTTCCAGGTAATAGCGTTACTTTCTCAATTATACAACTTTTAATTTTCAAATAAATGATGAACAATGAAGGCCAGATTAAATTATTATACTTTATTACCTAGAAAAACTACTTAATAGTAAGAGCTCAATAAATATTAATTGATTCCTAAATGGTTTTTGTTGTTTCATTTTACTTTTATTTTTGATAAGTTAATATGTAAATGCATATAATTTTCATAAATTAGTTTTAAAGCATAACAGGCATTTAAAGCATTTTATAATATGCCCCCATTTCAATTTTACTTTTTTAAGTTATGTTTCCATATCTGAAACATGTATGGGCAAATCACAGACTCAGTATTTTTTTGTACCAGGAGTTGAACTCAGAACCTTGTGCTTGCTAGGCAGGTACTTGTGCCACTGAGCTATATCCCCAGCCTAATATTTTTTTAAATAAGCAACAACATAAATTCAGTTCTATTAGTTCCTTCCAACATACAAAAGAGGAAAAAAAGCCACCAGAACTAGGTTTTAGGCAACACCTGCCAATATCCAGCTGTCCTGCCTCAGTTTTTGATAAGGATGAAATTTATTAATTTTCAACCTTTCTTCCACTCTACAGTGTTATTAAGCACATTCAGCAAATGTAAAGAAAGGAATAAAGATGGGTAGATATTTCTTAGCATAGCTTCTGAGTTTTATCTCCACTTTTTTTATTGCACTAAACAAATACAAATTGCTAGTTTTTTTACATACAATCAAATCACAAACACAGGCTCACTGAATGAATGTGTACAAGCAGACATGCTGATTTGTAACTAATGCCACCTTGCATGCAAAAGCAAAACACAATGAAAATGCATGAAAATTAGGTGGTTATGTATATGCAGATTACATTTTGAATCATCCACAAATGCTTGGAAGTGAATGTTAAGTGCATTATGAAGCCAGATGACAAGATATTTTTTTCCTACCAGTTTTCTCAACTCCCACTTGAATCGGTTTGGATGGCTCTGTTATGCCTTGGGAATGATGCCAATACAATTCTGAGACTGCTGCTAGGGAGCACAAAACATTATACGTCCCATATAAACAGTGGCTTTTATCTTTCTTTTTCATTTTGACAACTGGATGTTTTTGACTTGATTCTATTTCTTTTTTTAAGATTACATTACCATATTAAACTCATTTATACTGAGTGGGACAACCAATCCAAAATATAAGACTTCAAACTTCCAATATTTCTGTTTTACCTGTGCTACATAATTATTATGCCTAAAGTCACAAATTCTGTTTTTGAAATATAACATTGATGTAATTCTGAACTGAACCAGTGTAATTCCCAATACAAATTATTTCTTAAACTTAAAAAAATTTAATAATTTTGATTACCTACCTTGAAGCTGGAAATAGAAGTACTTTTGTTTGCATTTTTAAGAGTCTGATTGACCCATTTAATAATAATTTCATCATTTACTTTTTCACCATCTCCAAGATCTGATAACACATTCAATGTATACCTGCAACAGAAAAAGACATGTATTTGAGAGTTAACTGTAGTGAGATTTGCTTTTACATAATTTACATCAATATTTAAATAAATACTTAAATAGTTTAGCTCTAATAAATATTTCTAATTTTAGATTGGCATTTGCACTTAGTTACATTCCAAAGTTTCAAAGGTCACTAATCAAAAACAAAAATTACCATTTGGTATTTTAAGAATTCAAACCAACTCTTTCCAAAATGTTTTTTTCCCTTGTACTAGGAATTGAAACCAAGTCTGAGTGCTCTGCCACTGAGCTACAGCCTTTTTTATTTTTTACTTTGAGACAAGGTTTGCCTAAATTGCTCAAGCTGTTTAAGCTTGATTTCCTCTTTCCTGTATTAGCTTCAGGCTAACCTTAAGTCTGTAATTCTGTTGCCTCCAGTAACATCACCACACCTGACTACAACACCATTTTAAAAAATACTGTATTTCATTTTTTGTGACAGGCTCTCAATATGTAGTTCAGACTGGCCTTGAGCTCACTATGTAACCTAGGCTGGCCTCAAACTTGCAGTGATCCTCCTGCCTCAGCCTCCTGAGCACTGGGATTACAGGAGTACACCACTTTGCCCAGCTCACAAAGCCATTTTTATAGGTATTAATAAAAACTGACTTGTTTCTAGAGACTGAGCCCTTTTAAAATATAATTTTGTATTTTATTTGTACTTGTAAATACATGTATTTACAAAATTTATGTTTTACATTGTATATTTCCTATGTTCATTATTCTTCAAAAATAACTAAAAGTTTGGGTCAAATGACTCATTGAAGGAAACTAACAGTGTTGCTGTGTCAGCCTTTACCTTCTCATCAGTTGCCATACCAGTGCCAGAGTAAGTGTTGAATTTCCTTCATTTAGGTCCTGCCCAGCAATGCCAACCAAGGAGAATTTGGCTTTATTCTTTCCAAGCTCTACAGCATAGTTACAGTTCTCAATCTATAAATAAGCAAAAGTTTTAAGATGAAAAAGTTTTTTGAAACAACTCTTCAATATGCTATGCAGTTATCTGAAAAAAAATTACAATGATATACTTTATATGACCAAATTACATAATAGTAGTCCACTAAAGCAAGGAATAAGTATTATAACTGAAGATATCAAAGAATTATTAAGGTATTAAGCTAAAGGAACAATTGGCTGAAAAGTGTCAAGATCCTAGCCTACTTGTATTAATGTTAAACCTCTGACTGAAAACAGTCTCCTGTATTCCATTAATGGAGATAATGCATATTGTTTTGTTAGATTTACAGTTATAGAATAAATATTTTTTTCATTAAAAATTTAACTTCAAGCTAGGTGCAGTGATGCATACCTGGAATCCTAGCACTTTGGGATATTGAGGCAGGAACAAAGTTCGACCTGCCTGAACAACTTACCAAGACCCTGTCTCAAAAAATAAAGAAGGCCAGAGATACAGTTCAGTGGTAGAGTACCCCTGTGTTTAATCCCCAGAATCACAAAAAGAGAATCTAACTTCATATTTTTTAATTCACATATTACTAGTATATTCTCCAAAATCTAGCTTTTAACCCACTTCATTCAATAAAAGTTTTAATTTTAATTAAAAACAATGATCAGCCAAGCATGGTAGCACATGCCTATAATTCCAGCACTGAGGCTGAGGCAGAAGCACTGCCACAAGTGCAAAGCCAGCTGGGCCTTCACAATGAGTTGAAGGCCAGCCTGAACTACATGGCGAGACCCTGTGTCGATGATGATGATGATGATGATGATGATGTTGTCTTTTTTTTTTTTTTTTTGTCTTTTTCGTTTTTATCGGTACCGGGGATCGAACTCACGACTGCCTGCTTGCAAGGCAGGCGCTTATGCCGCTGAGCTAAATCCCCAGCCCTGATGATGTCTCTCTTGGTACATCTATCACTTATCATCTAGAACTTGAACTCCAATAATGCTCATTTTGAAATATCTGTGTACCATCTCCTACTTATTCTTAGCTTTCGTGCTTTCTTTTGCTCCCCATAGTATAAGCTCCTTTAAAAGAATAAAAACATTACAGACACAAATCTGCTTAATATTTCCCCCGTCCAGCCCAGGACTCAGCACAATGCCTTACCTACAGTCAAAATCTGATATATAAACATCAGGTAAATTATCTATTCCTGCCTATTTATTTCTAGCAATATAAGTCCAGTTAAAATCCTTTCTGTAGGTTTTTTTCCCCTTTTACCTTGGTCTTTATAGAGGCTTCTTATTTCCGTCATTTAGTGCTTTTTTTCTTTTATTAGGACTTACATAAATTCTTATATATCTCAGTTTGTTTTTGCTTCAGTGAAAGTATAAGCTCCCATAATCTGATAATGTTATCAGTAGGAAAAAAGTCATTACTAAATTCTTTTTTTGATTAAACAATGAAGAAAAATAGTATAACTGGTTTATCTAATTTTCTTTCTCAAGGTTCCTTTTCAAAACAGTTGAATCTGAGATATACACATACATCTCTTTCCAAAAACAGGATATTATTTCTAAAAAGGTAACAAGTAGAGACCACACAATCACAAAATTTTTACAAATAACTTAATATTATTTAAAAATAAAATTCAAATCCCCAAAGTTCTGTTTATTACAAATAAAAATGCAAGAAGATCCCTTGGGCCCTCTGTAACAGGTTTACTTCCTAAACCAACTAAAATATATGATGAGTTCTTTTTTTAAATGCAAGGAGACAACCTTTCAATATTATTTTCTTAGTAGTCATATTTAATTATGCCTATTTAATAGAAATAAATGTGATAGAAGTATACAGAATTGAAAAAATGGAATAGATTCCTAACTTATGAAAATAGTGGTACTCTGATTCTGTAACAGTGAAAGGGAAAAAAAAACAGGATGTTTCCCATTTGAACAGGAGACTTTCCTACAAAACTTTAATAATCATTTTGTGTGATACGTGTTTTAGTGAGGTAGTAAACTAGAAAAGAATGAAAAATTAGGTTCCCAGAAGTAAGCCATGTTTATGGTAGCACCCTAAACTGTAAAAATGGAACTGCTCCTGGAGACTGTAAAATGCAGAAGACCTTCACACCAACACTGTGCCTTAGAATTCCTGGAGTTCTCAGACTAAAGGATGAGGAACGTATCCAAGATAAGAATAAACACAAAGTAAGAAAAAATTGGAGTGTACATCTCATGGAGCAAATTGAAAAAATATTACCAAATACTTCAAATACTTGGGACAAAATGAGGCTTAGATCATTTGAGCAATGAGAAAAATTACATAATAGGATATGAAATTCCAAATGAAAACTTAAAAAATAATGAAAGATGTTCAATACAGCAATGTTATAAACTTTAAGGAGTACAACGACATCTGCTGATGATTGTCCAAAGCCCATAAAGTAATTCCCAGTGATACTATCTCATGAAAATAACACTTCATTTTTCTAAATATCTTGAGTTTATTTCAGGCCTTATGTTTCAATCTATAACTAGTATTTGTTGAGGTAAGCATTCTGCTTATGATTTATTTGTGATATAATTAATTTTACACTTTGCATCATGAACAGTATCTTCTAACAGCATCTGTCAGCATCACTGGTAAGCATTCTTGACTATGGAGGCTTACTCCTTTATTCCAGTGGAACTTTATGTTTTCTTATTTCTATTCCAGTGGGAATTTATTTTTACTTATTTTTTATTTTTAAAAAGCAAACAGAAGTAAGATAGAAATGATACAGAATTTCAAAAAATAGTAGGAAATTAACACTAATATACTGCATATTGTTACTTTAGAAGTAGTTGCTCAGGTTACAAGATTTAGGCACAAAAATGATCAAACAAACAATGAAGGCACAAACTGTTGTTTTGGATAAACTAACAGAAATTAGAAATAGTCTATATTGTATATATACATACATATATATACACATATACCTATGTACATATAATCTTTTCCCTTCTTTCTTCTCTTTTCCCCTATCCCAGTTTTTCTTTCCTTTTGAGCACTTTCTTTCCCTTTCATTATCACAGTATCTATTGTACATTTTGGATCTTATTACTCCATTTTTTTTTACATTAGGGAGACAATGATATTTACAAATGTGAGTTTAATTTCACTTATGAGTATGGTCTCAAGTTGCCTCCATTTACCTATAAAAGCCTCAAGATTATCTTTTTTTTTTTGGTATGCTGGTTTGAGATTGAGCTCACAACTGCATCCTGGCCAGGGAGGTGCTTGCGCCACTGAGCTACCCCGGCCCTAGATTATCCTTTTTTATAGCTGATTAATATTCCATTGTATAAAAATACCACATCTTTTTTTATCCATTCCACATTATGAGCATTTGGGTTGTTTCCGAGAATCAGCTATCACAAATCGTGCTGCTATAAACATGGGTACATATATATTGTGGTAGCATGATGTTTTCAATTTTTCTGTGTAAATACCCAGAAGGGGAGTAGCTGGATTGAATGGGACTTTTAATACTAGTTTTTAAAGAATCTCCACACTGATTTCCACAGTGCCTGTACCAATCTACACTCCCACCAATAGTGAAGAAGTGTTCCTTTTCCCCCACAGCACCACCAACATTTGTTATTGGTTAATTTCTTGATGGCAGCCATTCTTTCTGGAGTGAAATGGAATCTCAATGTTGTTTTAATTTGCATTTCTCAAATGACCAATGATGGTGAACATTTCTTCATATATTTATTTACCATTTGTATATCTTCATCTGAGACGTACATATTCATCTCAGATGCCCATTTTTGGATTGGGTCTTTGAATTTGGGGGCACTGATGTTTTTCACTTCTTTATATGTTCTAGATAGAAATCCCTTATCTGAGGGACAGCTGGATAAAATTCTTTCCCAATTTGTGCATTTTCTTTTCATTCTGTTGGTGATTTTAATTTTAAAATGGCTTCTTAAATTTATTTATTTTTTAAATATAACATGAGGTGGTGTTAAAACTGGTGTAATAGCACAATAGAGTAAGTTTTCCAGATTTTGGGTGAGATGAAGAGGGAGTATTCAGAATCCCTCACTAGAATCCCCCTAGCTTGATCATAGTGGATTAAGGATATGCTTTGTGGACATGGTTAGTCAATGACACCAGCTTGAGGTATCTTTCTTTCTGCACCAAATCCCACTGAGTTATCTGGTCCCCTTTGATGACAAACAACCATTAGGCGAGCAGCACTGGCATCATCGAGGATGATGATCTTCAAGCGGTTGACCAATCAATCAGATCGAGGGACTGCAACAGCCTTGGGACCCTTGCAGACTTGCCAAACATTACAGGCACTGTACTTGCCAGTGTGCTGCTTAAGAATCACTGAGAACTCCACCTTGTCTCCTGCCTGTAGCTCAATGTCATCCTGAACTTCTTTCACATGGAAAAAGAGCTTGCTATCTCCTGCTTCATCATTAATGAAGCCAAACTGATCTTTCACATACTCCACTGTGGCTCTACACTGTAGGCCACAGTCTGTGCATTTTGGCCCAAGACATACAACTGGAACTTAACACTCGCCCCTTTGGGTAGGCAGACCCCTTTGTTGGCCTTCCCAGCTATGCCAAATGTACACCTCACCTTTCATATCCCCCTCTTCCACAATCTTAATCATTTCTTGATACTCAGTCTGTGTTGGGTCAACACTCCTCAGAGGGTGAATGACTTTACCAAAAGAAAAGGTGGGATCAGCTTCCTCAGTAATACCATTCACTGAGTGAGTTTTGTTTACTTTTTCAGCACTAACTTTGTTGCCTTTGCCTTTGGACAAACTGTATTCAACCATGTCCCCCAGTTCCAGGCTATCAACATCACCAAAGAATTTATGTATTTATTGGTGCCGGGGATTGAACTCATGACCTCCACTTGCCAGGCAGGCACTTGTGCTCTGAGCTAAATCCCCGGCCCCCATCATCAAAGAATTTATTGTAATGCAAAAGGATTTCCTTATCATGACTGGCTGTTTTAATAAATCCAAAATTATCTTTCAGAGTTGCCACATAACCCAACAGTCTATTGGAGTTGGAATTACGACCCAAGAGTCATACACAAGTTGCAATCTGCAGCCCAGGCCTCTGTTTGTCACTAATACTAAATTCAACGTTATATCCTCTCTAAGGAGAAATAGATCCATCCACATCCTTGGTTTGAAAAGCAATAGTCAGTTTCACTCCAAAATTATCATAACAATAATGCCATCCTCAGCCTTATTCTCCTTGGCTTTACTGGGACTAGTGGTTTTAGGATTGGAAAAAGTGGCTTTTTCTACAGTGCCCAGAAAACGATGTTCTGAATGAGAATGGAATGAAACCATGCCCTTGGGAAGTTTTTAAATCCCAATAGCATGATTTCTTTGGGCAGACAGCATATCAGGAACCACAGTAAACTCTACTTCATTTGCAATATGAAGTTGGTTCCCATCTAGAATTTCACTGAAGTGGAAGAACATACGAACATCTCGATCCACACACTTGATGAAACCGAACCCATCTCATATGGCAGCGATTACATCCATTTCTCTAGCTTCATTAGTGAACTGAAATGTATTTGCCAGAACTTCTATATTGGTTGCCCATTCTAATTTGTCCCATCAGTCTGTTGAAATATTAAACCTAATATGGTCACCTTCAAGCCAGTCACCCTGGATTTTGCCTAAGTTCTTTAGGAATCACAAAATCAGCTTTGATTCATTCTATTAGTGGGTCATTCTGGTTTTTACTGGGGACTTTTGGGGTATCTTTGGTTACAGTTCCTTCAAAATGTTCAATGCTGATATCTTCAAAAATGACTGTTCCTTGAGACAATAATCTGACATCTGTTGCAACTTTACTATTTCTGTCCTTGATCATCTCCAGGTTGCAAGGTTTCCAGGTCACCTTTAAACTCACTGTAGTAGAAGAATATCTCTTTTTTCCCATATCATTTCTTTTAATAAAGCCAAATGCCTCCTTCATGGCACAAACTGACAGCGAGCTCGTTTCTTTTTCAACAGCGTAATGTTATGAGCACTTACAGCATCAGTATGTTTATTGCTATCAATTACAAAGTTCATTTTATCTCCCATTTCCAGCTGAACATTCCCTTCAACATCTTCAGGGGTGTAAGACAGGAAAAACATTTCCCCATTACGTTCGTGGCATGTACTCCCTGTTGGACTCTGACTGGAGGCCGCTGGAGACTTACTAAGTTGTGAGAAACAGTGCACACTACTTGTCCCTTCATTCGTTCTTCAGGGTGGATTTCTGGTTTTATCTTCACTAGTTTAATAGCAATTGGTTTATTAGTCTGCTGGTCAGATGATACTTCGAATTCAACATCATCTCCTACTTTTAAGTCCTGTAGGTTGCCATTATATTGTTAACAGTGGAAGAAAAGTCTAGCTTGACGTTCTGAACACTGAATAAATCCATAAGACATTAACTATTTCTCAGTAACCCCAGTTTCACGAAGTGCTGCTGAAGAACCACTGGGGTACCCATTATGTCCATTGTGGAGAAGGTTTGGATCATAGCTCATCTCACAGTGATAATCAAATATTGCATTTTCAGTAGTATTAGATAATTCTTCTTTTTCAGTACAAGTTTCAAAGGCCAAAAGTTGCTAGAATTTAAAAATAGAAAAAGCGAGAGAAAATGATCTACCAACCTAATAAAGAATATAACTGCTGCTGCACCAGGAATCTCTCAGTAGAGTACTGAAGAAAACAAAGACTACTAGCAGCGTTGGGATGTGCTCTTTCCAAGCTGTTGAGTAGGCAAAAACTTCTTGTTTCAGATCAAGTGTTGTGTCTTCAACTTAAGTGTACTCTTCTTTGGACTGGCTGGTAGTTGCGAGGTTTGTTCCTTGCCTGATCTGAACCCCCTCTTCAGTGCTGCCATAAGCAGCACAGCCCCATACATAGGAATAAATCTCTGGTGATTTGTTTTAAAATGTAAAAACTTTTTAATCAAGTAAGATCCCACTTCTTGATTCTTTGAAGTACTTCCCATGCAGTTTGCATTTTATTTATGAACTCTTTAGGTACCTGTCTTCAAGATTTCTACCTCCCTTATTGTTTCTATTTTAATATTTAGATCTTTGACCCATTTTGACTTTAATGCATGGTAATAGACATGGGGCTAGTTTCAGTCGTTGGCATGTGAAAAGCCAATTTTTCCAGCACCATTTATTAAAGAGGCTTTCTTCCAATGAACATATTTAGCCCTTTTGTCAAAGATAAGGTAGCTGAGTGGCTTTGTAGGTGTGTCCGTGTCCTCTTATCTGTTCCATTGGTATGCAGGTCTTTGTTTTTGTTTTTTTGTGGATTTTTTTTGCCAGTACCATGCTGATTTTATCACAGTAGCTTTGTAGTATAATTTCAAGTCAGGGATTGTGATGCCTACTGCCTTGCCTTTGTTGCTCAGGATTGCCTTTGCTATTATAGGTCTCTTCTGTTTCCAAATGAATCAGTGATCTCTTGGACAGTGGTAAGGGTTTTCCTGCTGTTGCTTATATGGATGTAATCCTCAGTGCCAGCAGAAAGCAGGTCAAAGAGTAGAAGTTTTGGATAGTGGACATACGATACAATTCCTTTTCCTCAGTGGAAACTGCCTGCAGAAGGTGGCTGTAGGAAAGGGTTTGGGGGGCATGGATCACTGCGAAGCAGGGGGCTCAAGGGGGACTCTGCTGAGTTCTTGGGGGTGGCTCAGTGACTGGGCTCCAGTGGAACTTTAGAATTGCTTTGTAAGTCATCCCAACACACATACCTATAAATTACCTTTCTCCAACCCCTATTCTACACACTGGAAAAAAAACTTAGAATTTTAACCAGAATTACCTTCTAACTGTAATTTGGGGAAAAAATGAGTACCTTTTAATAATTTAGTTTTTCAAGGAATATGGTTATATTTGCACTTATTCAACTATAGGTAGTTTTAACATTAAGATAATGTAATTCAATTTCATAATAACCAAACAGAATAAGGTACAGCAAAATTAATCCATTAATTTGTGTAGTATATTTAAATTACATCATTTAAGCAAAAGGATGTTAAGTGTAAACTTCTATATTATTTTACTTTATAAAGCAAATGTCCCTAAAACAGAAAGTCAAAAGGAAATGCAAAAACAAAAGCACAGGTGTTTCAATATAGAAAATATTAATACAGATTAGACTTTTGATCACTTGTTATGAAGAACACAAGAAAAGTGTTTCTCTTTACATACTTCTGCTAGAAATTCTTCCACCATCTATAATCAAGTTACTGTCTTCCTCAAAACATTTAATGGCTTCCCACTCTTTATAGTTTAAAGCTCATGCTTCCAAATCTGACATTCAAGGTTCTCAGTATCATGCTCCAACCCAAATTCTTAGTGTTTGCATTCTGCTTACTTATCAAAATCTTCTGCTATAGCAAAATCTGTTTTTCTTCCAGAAACTCACTTTCCCATCACTATCTCTTTTATAACCCGCATCTCCTTCTTCAGTCACAATCTGCCAAAATTCTATTGATTTCTTCTGAAAGACCTAACTCAAATACAGCTTCCTGCCTTCATGATAAGTGCAATCTGTGTCTTGTTCTTTAAAACCTGTAATATTAGCCGAATATGGTGGGGCATACCTATAAATCCTAAGACAGCAAGATCACAAGTTTGAGGCCAGTCTCGCCCACATCATGAGTTTAAGACCAGCCTGGACTACACTGTGAGCCTCCACCTCAAAAACCGAACCAAACCAAAACTTAAAAAATTGTGATATTCACTTTGCTTACACTGTACTGTATTGTAGTTGGTTTCACATATCTCACCTCCTTGATTTCCTTAGGGCTTTATGAAATGTACTTTTTCTATCATGCATTATACTGTACAGGTTGTAGGTATATCTCTGCTGAATAAATGAATGAATAACCACTAATAATTCAACAAGATATAGCAATTGTAAGAGTACACTTATACTGCATCTCAAAGGCATTCATTGCTAGCCCTTACTAAAGAGAAAAGCAAATACAAAGCGTCTGACCAGGAGGACTGCCTTCATCTTCCCAAGTACTTATTAAAGAAACTTGTAAAAAGACTATTAATAATAAGCTTAATACATTTCAGGTTGAAAAACAACTGTGGGGATAAACCACAGTTTACCAATCTTTATGAAATTCTCCATCCTCTGTTTTATATCAGAGCAATAACAACACATCCATGGTGCTTATTTCATTCACCTTCTTCATGTTCCCTCCAAGAGCAGGATAAGGAGGTTTGTTGACCTGGCTCCAGTTCACTGGCACTCGAATCATTTCATAGAGCTGAAAGATCACTAAAGCATCTTCAAGGTCACTAAAACAGGAAAAGTAGGTGAGGGAGAATAAATAAATGTTGCCATTAGTTTTATTAAGCACACTGGAGATGGACATATATCTTTTAAAACACAAAGTCATTTAATGCTTATAAAATGAGAGGACGATAGACCTGGAACTTTCAATCTAAAAATCTGCCCCTAATTTTTTCATAAATGTTTATAAAGATACACATTTATTTCCACAGTACATTTTATATTTATACATACATGTGTATGTAGTTTATACAGATGTGCATATATATATATATATATATATAGAGAGAGAGAGAGAGAGAGAGGGAGAGAGAGGAGAGAGAGAGACAGAGAGAGAGAGGCAGAGAGAGAGAGAATAAGAGATTTGAGAGGATTTTTGTTAAAATGGGCCCGAGCTGTGTTTGCCAAGCTGATCATGGACTGGCAGGCTCATGGTAGTCCTTCTGCCTCAGCCACCAGAGTAACTGAGAGGGAATAAACCACCATGCCGGATTCACAGTATTTATAAATTTGGAAACAACTAAACGGCTGGCATTAAGGCTATTATGTAAACTATACATACTATGAACTCCTGGGCCACCATTAGAAATAAGGTAGATATGTATGTACTGATATGAAAAGCAAGCTTTATAAATAATATTAAGTTTTTAAAAGCAAGTGGTAGAACATCATATAGTTGGATCTTTATTTTTTAAAAAAGTAGAGTCAAGTGCATTTATATGCCAAAGACTGTTAGTAGTGATTACCTCTGCATGAAAAAGGGAGGACGGAGACAAGGAAAGAATTATCATGTTTTATTTTATACATTTATATATTTCTTGAAACTCATACATGAAAAGGAGTTCATGTGTTACTTATGTATTATGAGTTTTAAAAACTTAATTATAGGAAAATCACAGCTATTCGAAGTCAACTGTTCATGTTCAGTAATAAAGGTTAACAGGAAGGAGTTTATGAACACGGAGTTCTGAAAGTAAGGACACTACTGCTTTGGATTTAGAAAAATAAATTCCCCTGAGACATTTAAAATATTTCTATACAGGCTGTTTTTAATTTCATATGCTAAGGATATAAGACAGTAGCAAATGATTTTTTAAACTGCTAGCTCTGTGATGTTTTTTTTTTTCATTTAAAAGCTTACCCTCTAAGTTTTGTATTGCTAAGTTTCAGATTTTCTTTAAAAATTCCTATATAAGTATGTACAATCTTTAAATAAAATGGGATTGTATCTCACCTATTCTCTCAATAAAATATTCTTTTAAGGTCGGTCCATAGAGAGTTAAACCCTCCACTCTGATATTTTAGACTTAGTTCCAGTCTAATTCATATATGTGTCTTTTCATTTGGCTGGAATTTATACACTATTTAAGCAATTTTCAAATACAAGTCTGCCACATCAAGGCCAGTTAACAGAATAAGGTGGTGCTAGTTTCATATTTTCAAGAATATTTTTAATAAGGGACCGGGATTTAGCTCAGCAGCGTAAGCGCCTGCCTTGCAAGCACGCTGTCTGACTTCAATCCCTGGTACCAAAAAAAAAAAAGAATATTTTTAATACACACCAAGGAAAATAAATTACTGTATAATTTTGTATTATACAGTATAGGCTATATACTGTATAGCCTTACTGGCTGTAGAGTAACATATTTGAATAGTAATTTAGTTCATCTTCTTTAAGGAGTTAAACTCTCTAAGGCATTTCCTTGGTGTATAAATTACTGGTTTAGTTAATTTGACTTTTTTAAAAATGAAGTAGCTTCTTAAGGCTTTCAAAAGCAAATGAAGACAACTTGAGGCTATCCTCATTAGTGAAATAAATAATCGTATTTATAAATATCACATTGTGTCTCTAGTGTAAAAAGTAATAATAAATGTAGAAGTAATAAAACCCAAAATGTGTAATTGCTATTGTAAAAAACAGGAAAAGAAAGTGCTCTAAAGAATATAACTGCGTGTATGTTTAAGGGTTTAGGATTGATAACCATATTACTAACTTTTTGTTGGATAGTTAAACAAAACTGTTTGCAATCTTACTGTTTGAATGTCCACTTTGTACGCTTCACTTTTATAAGTTGAACAACTATTCTTAAGAGGACAATATATAATTATCAACTAGTGATTTCTTACTGTTCTTTTTAAATTACGTATTATTTCTACCCTTCTTCTGTTGTTTTTTTTTCTTTAAATAAAAAAAATCCCCTCCCCCAAAAATGAAGTAGCTGAAATTGAGTTCTTTTCTACTTTTTTAAAGTAGACAACACAAAAAATGACTTAGTGAAATATTTCCTAAATCCTACCAATCAGTGTTAATAATGTATTGTCATTTTTAAACAAGAAAGAATAAGATTGAAATTATAATACTCAGTGAAAAAAATTATTTCTACAGGTAAGGAAATATACATAAACATTACAGAATAATTGGTTGTGGCAAAAATAAACGAAGAAAATGTGTGTTATTATGAAAAAATTTCCATGACATGTAATCAAAGAATAAGAAATATCTTTTTTATTTGTATGAAAAGTTATAACTATTATCTTTTAAAATAATATAAATGTTCTCATATGAACATACCTACAATTTGCAACTTAAAAAGCTGGGCCCCGGCGGCTGGGAATGTAGCTCACCTACATACCAGGCGTGAGGTGCTGAGTTCAATTCCCAGTGCTAAAGTGGGGAGAAAAAGAACCCTGACAGTAAGGCTGGAACACAATACAATACTTACCCATACAAATGATTAATATATGGATTGACTCCCAAGGAATTCATCCAGTTTCGAAATGTCCTCTCTTCTTTGCTCTCTCCTAGAATGAACAGGACAAAAAATAAAAATCAGGAACTATATATTAAACTATTCTAGCAGATACAAAGTGGCCATACACACTCTGCCATGGTTCTTTAGATACTATCTTTTTAAAAGGGAGAAAATCTTTTATCCTGACTTTCTAAGATTTCAATCAGCGTGTTTCTCTTGACAGCCTTAATTGATGTCTGTGAAATACTACTGGTCCATGTATTTCTCTGTCCAGAAACATAACAGATAAATTCACACCGTTTGAAGTTACTGGTAGATGCATTAGAATCTGGCTGAATATTATAAAACAAAATCTTTTAGCATATTAAACTGAGAAGCTCTGTCTTTCCCAATGCAGTATTTCTAATTTTGTACTGATTATAATTTCAAATGTGTACTTTACACCAATAATGAAGGAGAAAGGGAATTTCAGGTAAGATGAAAAACAGGAAACAAGAAAGTATAGGCTTCCTGAGTAAACTGTCACTATTGAAAATAAAGGAAGGACACAGATCCCACACAGATCCACAAGAGGAACACAGATCCCACACAGCATTCTAATATGTGCCAAGAGAAAGACATGTTTCATCATAGTATATTCCTGAGCCTCAAAGATCATGTCAAGGAGATAACTCCTGTAGATGTTATAATTTAAGCTGTAATAACTTTTTTCCCCTGAGCATTTCCTTTATCCTAGTGCTTACATATCTATAAAGAAATCATAATTATGATATATCACAAAGTTGGAAGAGATATGGACATTCCCTGCTATGTCTGCCTTATAGTCACCTACTGATGAAAAACAGTTCTAAGCGACTGTAATACTGTTGTTCATTCTTTAGCAAAGTTCTGGGTTATGGGATAACCCAGACTATTTCTTTTCACCAGATCCTGAAAAGCTGAAACATTTTTACCATTCATCACTTCTAACTAATGAGCAAGTTCAGGTCACTCCCTAGACTTCAGCCCATGTGAGACTCACAGTTTGACAAAAAATTCTGTAACCATTTGAGTGTCAGAGACTATCCCAATGTAGAAGTTTCATCTTGCAAGTGCCACGGACAGTATAAACCTGCACAACTAGAACAGGAACCAAAACCTGTATGATCTAAAAGATTCTGTTATTCTTACCAACTGTTTAGGAAACAAACAGCCAGGACATTTTCATGTGGTTTTCAACTCCACTGCCTAACAATTTTCTAAGAATTGGCTTTATTTTTGCTCTATTAAGTCACATAGCTATAATTTCTTGATTAAATAATTTTCCCTCTGGTCTTCATAAAAGATAATTGATCAGTTTGTTATATTTGCTACAGATACTTTATATGAACAATCTACATTGAAAACCTTTTAGAGAAAGAACCAAGTTAAACTAAATATTTCTAAAATCTATACCTACCTTGTTTATAGAAATTATTAAGTACAGATTAAAGCTGTAAATTGTGCCCCACATTATACAAACAAACAATGACAAATAGCTTGATGCATGTGACTTGGATTCACCTTTTTTTCTATTATCATAGTGCCATATATAGGTGTGTGTATATATATGCAATACATCTATATATTTTTTTCTAGTAATTAGAATTTCCTATTATTTCCAGCTAGCAATATCAAAATTACGTCCTAAAACTACAAAAACTATTACATAGGTTTGGTTTTTAATTAGAATACTCAAGTTCTGTTGAACTTGCTGATATAGTAAATATTTTAAAAGAATGAGTTCTGAAACTACTATAAGCTCCTGAGACTCATTCCTTCCTGATATTCTTAATGAATTATATTATTAGCATTTTAATTCTGAAAAGTAAAATGGATTTTGAATGTGAACATTTATTTATTTAGTATAATTTCAAACTGTTTTAGTAAATAAATGCTCAAAGCTAGAAACACTATGCATCTATGCAATGGCCATAGTAAAAGCATTATAAAAACATATATATTCCAGATTGGAAAATGTTTTCTGGATTGCAGACAACTAATTCAATCTTAGTATTAAAATTCTTTTTTTTTTTCCCCTTTGGTACTGGGGATCAAACTCATGACTGTGAGCTTCCCAGGCAGGCACTTATACCACTTAGTTAAATCTACAGCCCTGGAATTAAATTCGTAATAACTAATAATGCAGAACTAGTTACAAATGCTAAAACCTCAAAAATAACAAATATATTGCTGGATATGGTGGGTCACACCTGTAATCTTAGCTACTCAGGAGGCTGAGATAGGAAGATTAAAAATTCAGGGTCAGGCTGAGCAACATAGCTAGAGACTGTCCGAAAATTAAAATTTAGGGCTAGGGTGCAGGCCAGTGTGGGATCCTTGGATAAAACTGCCAGTACCATCCTCCCAACATACATACATATATAGATAAATAGGTTACTAAGAGGAAAGAAAAGAACACATGTTGAACAATTATTAAATATGCTGTGGTATATTAAGTACTTTCCTCCCCCCATTCTAACCATTAATAAGCATACAGAGTAGGTTAACCCCCTTCAGTCATGATCACACTTAACTTTATAACACTTAAAAATAATTATTAGCCCTGTTTTATAAGGGAAAAACCAAAACTCAAAGAGGATACTAAACGGTGGGACAATGATTTGAACAAAGTCTTTCTAAACTCTGTGGCCTATTGTACATTGTATCATCATCAGTATGAATTCTGAGATGAGCTAGGCATGGTGGTGCACACCTGTAACCTCAGTACTCAGGAGACTAAGGCAGGAGGATGACCATGCCCAAGGCCAACCTGGGCTACATAGTGAGACCAACCCTATCTCAAAAAAAATCAGATGATGTCTCTAGCCCATGTGGGGTGCTCAAAATGATATGAAGGTTTAATATTTAATTGGGCTTTAAAGTTTAATTCCCTAGAGATAAAATTCCTTGCCAATGAGGACATACTAATATATGAATTTGTGATGTAATAAGGTCAAGCTTCAAACTTCATAAGGATCTACAAAAACACAAATTTACAGAGGAAAATATTTCAATGACAGTCAAAGTCAAATACATTTTTTGCAGATGTATCAGGACATACATATGTTCAAAATTAGTATGATTGGTAAATATTTCCCATAGTATCTTAATAAATTACTGTACTAATGGAAATATATAGCAATCTTCTTCACACTAAAAAATTCCAAAAGCATGCCGAACACTAGCAAAAGAATTCAAACATGACAAACAGGAGAGCGAGCAAGTTAGAGAAGATAATCTAGCAAGAATTCAGTGACTATAAAAAGCAGATCATTTTTAATATGCCACTCTAAACAATGCCTTCTACGTAAGACACAGAGATTTTGAAATTTTCCAGACTGATAAAAACTTAGCAGTATTCCTTTTTTACTTTTTTTTTAAAGTTCTAATCTTATACCCTCTTTGCTAATAACAATCCACAGTTTTGTCTATTTTTATCTGAGTTGTAAACTCTATAGGGAATATACTGATTATTTATTTAACTGAGCCATCAGGAAGAATGAATTGAATTCATCATATTTCTCAAAGAATATATTTGTTAAATCTGAAATTTCTTTTATAAATCACAAACTGTAGCTATGTAGTAACAAGGGCATTATAGATCTAGTTGTGGCAGTCAAAGGGAAGAGATCATGAAACTGATTTCTCATTCTATATCACTGGGAAGGGAGGAAGGGTGGGTTATATGAGAGAATGAACACAGCAACGTCAAATTTTCCCTAATTCTCCCATTCTGGGCAACAAAAGACAAAAATCTTAGGCTTAGCCCCTCTCTCCAACAAACCATCATTGCTGCCACTGTTTGTACTTTTCCTTTTGATACTAATGTGGATATTTGGTATGCATATAGGGTGTAATAACGGAAGAAAGGAAGAGAGGTTGGTAAACAGAGATAAGGAAAAAGAACTAGATATTGAGAATGATTTTGTCATTATGACAATTCATATATTGTAAGCTTCAATGACATTCAGTAAATATAACAAAGCTAAATAATATAAAATATCTGTTGTAGAACCTAAATGAGTCCTTTCAAAAATTATTTGTGAGAAAATATAGAATTAATCATGGAAGAGGGATAAAGACTTTACACCAAATCGTTAAGTCCAATTGTCAAAACTCATTTTTCTTGTGTTTATACTATAATACCCATCATTATAGAAGGCAAATTATATAATCAAAGCCTTGCTCTGTTATTTAAGCTTTGTGTGTCTTGCTTATATTCATTCTATAGGCATATTAAGACAAAATAACACAGCATGAACAATGCAAAAAATAAATAACTCAGATGGAAAAAATAAATGGCACTAATAAAAACATTCAGAATGGATATATTTAAAGTATAGAAAAGTACTAAATACAGTACCTACATTAGGAGGGGTCAAATCTGCATTTCATGAAGCAAAACAGGAAAGTGTTATATATTATGAGACAGATAACAAACACAAGACAAATAACGAATATTATAATTTTTTCATATACACAGAAGACATTAAAAAAGAGTAATACTGGAGTCAAAATTAGCTTTTGAAGGAAAAAAGTGACAATTTTTTCCAATAGATAATTCATTGTCATAAGATCAATTATGAGAATAAGATCATTTGAGAATAAGATCATGTATGAGAATATTTTTGTTTTAATGGTTTAATATTTTAATAGTTTTCACTGAACTCTTAATAGAGAAATGATATATAAGTAAATTTATCCCAGTACTGTCTTCTGAGCAAAACCAACAACCATTTTCTATAATTTGAACTTTTTAATTGATGCTATGCCTGTACATCTTCCCCACAGTCTCTAGCTCTGACAGTGAAGTAGGACAATACCACAAGAAAAGAAATGCATTAAGTCAATTAAAGACAAAGAACATACCTTCCAATAAATTAATATCGATGTCATTATTATTAGGCTTGTGTAGGCATGGGTATGTGTTAAAAAGATTAGCTACAAAGGCTAAATTAAGTTTAGGATTGCCTGAAACCACATCTGCTGGAGTAACAAACTGTCTGCAGCCTAGTTTGTCTGCTTCTTGAAGCATGAATTCAGCACGCTTTAGGTCATTTTTCTCCTAAACAGTGAAATAAAACAAAAATGGTCAATATTGAACTTGTAATTGGTATAATTTATAGCAATTGCAGTTCCACAAATACATAAAATAATAATTCAAGGTCAGAATGTGCAGGAATTACAAATCAACTTTCCTGTATCTTTTAAATCAAAAAGAACAAGTCTCTCTGTTTTAACGCTGAAATTTCTGAGACATATTTCAACCACACTGTTGAAATACCCAACAAAACCCTCAGATATTGAATCAGTAAGCTCCTACTAGTCAAAATACAGCATACATAACAAATCACTAGTAGAGTGGCCTCTGAATAACAAGCTTAGTTATCTCATCCAGTATATACTAAGTGATGTTCCTGGCAGGTACTTTTCCCAATGAAAAGCAAATTGAGACACATAACTCATATAAAAATGTTAAAAGTCAGAAGGAACAGCACCTTTCACAGCTGTAAAACTCTGGAAGCAAAGCAAGTCAAATAGGTAGAAACAAGAAGAGTAGATGAATGAACTAGTATATTCATGCAGTATGTAAAAGAATATGAGTGTCTTCAATATAAAAAGAAAGTATTACAGTAGAATTTGAAGTACAATCTTAAGTTAAAAAGTAGAATAAAGGGGTTGGAGGTTTAGCTCAGCGGCATAAGCGCCTGCCTCGCAAGCAGGCAGTCGTGAGTTCAATCCCCGGTACCGATAAAAAGGAAAAAAACAACAACAAAAAAAGTAGAATAAAAATTTAATTTTATCTGGAATACATCTGGATGAAACTAGACTGTATAAAAAGAACAAAAAATATAATGACCACAAGATTCAAGATGGTTACCACACTGAGGTTAGGCAGAGAAAACAGGAAGGAATTGTACAGCTAATTTAATGTCAAAGTCTTATTCTCTTGTTGGATTAAGAGTTTATAAGGCTTGTTACAATTTAAAAAATAAGCAACCAAAAATAAAAATAAAAAGGGGTATACACAGCCCTATACAAGAATATATCATAACCATGGTTACCTAATTTTGTGTATCAGAGTTGTAAAAGAAGTAAAAACATATTGAATCAAAGAAAGTGATAGATTCGATGCATTAAACAATGAAGAATTACCAAAGCTGATATCAACCTTATTTAGACCTTAATGAACATTTATAACGCAACTGGAAAGTCAACAATCAATTTGTGATATTACAGACTACCTGTGTTACTAACTTTTCAGGAATAAGGTATTTGTATATTGAAAATCTTTATCTTTTCAAAATAAATGTTGAAATATTTATCAATGAAATGACAAGATGTCTGGAATTTTCTTCAAAATATTACTGTATAAAAGAGAGAAATAAAAAATAAGTTCATTGATGATGAGTGGGTAAGTACTTAAGTATATTAATATACGAACTCTGTTCACTGTTGAATATATTTAAATTTTTCCATAGTTTTTTTTTTTTTTTTTTTGTAATCCCTGACTTTTTTTCTTGCAACAGGGTCTCACTATGCAGTTCAGAAAACTCAGTTTGGCTCAGGATGGACTTGAATTTGAAGTGATCTTCCTGCCTCAGACTCCTAAATATAGGGACTATAAGCATGCACCAGCACACCCTACTTAGATTTCTGATTTTATGCCCCAAAATAATTTGTATTGCAATATTAAATTTCTGATATTTCATTATAATAATGTAAAATATAATTTATTAGTAATAATCTAAGTTGCATTTAAAACCAGTTATGAATGCTATAGTTTATTTAACATATTTTCACACAGTAGCCTGACTAGACTTTAATGTTTAGATAAAACCATCCCTGCTACTTTGAATGTATGCTAAAAGAACGGACTTTCTAAGAAATGTGTTTGGTGGTTCAGGATCTATGTCAGTTCTACCTAGAACATAAATAGTTAGGAGTTGCCATCCTTTATTGAATACTTCTAAATGTAGAAATACACATTTATTTCTGATTAAATAAATAACTACTATTTACTTAGCAATCAAATAACAGCTATTGCTGCTTTTCTTGAACACAATGACAAGTCTCAAAAGCACTCTGATTCCAGGTACACTCTGCCAGAGAAATGTGGATAATAAGATTGATCCACACATACTCAAGGTTAGAATTTTGCAATTCCCCTTCTTTGGTCATGAAAGCCAGATGAAATAGCAGGGCCTAGGTCATGAAAAATCTTCTAAAGACCACAAAGTCAATCTGTAATGACGAGCTGAAGACTCCACAGTGCAATGCTACTTGTAGAGAATTATGCTCTAAATCTGAACTTACTTACTGGTCAGGTTCTTAGACATAAAGTAGAACAGTGGTTAGCAAAGGCCAGGAGTGTGGGTTTGGGTTGAATTGGGGAGTGTTTAACGAGCACAGGGTTTCATCGTGGGAAGATGAAGAAGTTCTAGAGATAGATGGTAGTGATAGTTGAACAGGGATGTGAATGTAGTGAACGTCATCACTGAACTGTTTGCTCAAAAATGATAAAATGGTAACTTTTATGTTACATATAATTCCACTTCAATATACAACAATTTTAAAAACTCCACTCACATTAAATCCTGAAAGGTCAATGTCAATAGCAGGTCCATCTTCCCGGTCACTTTTAGGGGCAATCTGATTGAGCAGATGAAAGTAGGCTCTTGAATCCTTCAAGGAAAGATAAACAGCGTATTTAAAATGAATAAAATACATGTAATTTAGAGGAGAAAGTGCCCAACCTGAGGAAACTGCCCCATCCCAAAAAATGGAGTAACAAACAACTTAGTCACTTTATTAATACAAATCACTTACATTGCATAATGCTGTTTTACACTTCAGAGCTTTTGGTAGTCCTCTTTCACAATCTATTCTCTGCACCTGGAATTACCCACCACCCCCCCACACACACACATTCCCCTCTCTCATTTGTTTACATCTCCAAGCATAGTGTAAACATCAGTTAAAGATTCATGTCAAATATTTTGTCCCAGAAGACCTGCCTGACGTTTCTAGAATAAACCAGATAGCTTCTCTGTTGTATGGCCCTCCCTGCTCATCTCTATAAACCAACTGTGACCATATTTTACTAAATCATCCACCCAGTATAGTTATCTTCACAAACAGTTGTAATTCTCCAAACATATAGATAGCTTCTTCCATCACAAAAGCAGAGGCTGTCTTTGATCCCATTTTAGTTGGATTGGCTTTGTGACTTGTCTGACCAACAGAATGCTGTGAAAATGATGGTCTAGGGCTTTCACATCATGACAGCCTACTCCTTCACCTAAGAAATCCAACTATCTGAGACTATGATGTTGTGAGGAAGGCCAGTCTAAACATGTCGAGGGGCCTAGCGGGAGGAGCAGTGAGGCACACACCTGTAACTGCTGCCCGTGTACTCCTTCCAGATGAGCCCAATTGACAGCTGAATGTAACCAAACCAGGGATAAATATATGTGGAGAAGAACCACCTAGCCAAGTGGCATCGACCCACAAAATTAGGAAAAATAATAACTCGTTATTTTAAGCCAGTATTACATAGTTTGCATAATTAGTAAGCTTCACAAGAGGTGTGTACCCGTGTCACCCATGGCTAGCATAATGCCCAACAGAGGGGATATAATAAACCTCTGACTAAGCCGAATTGAACCAAATTGTAGGAAGGTTCAGAAGAAGAGAAATCCTGGAAATAAACTTTGAAGCAGAGAAAACAGTGTCACTTAAAGACAGAATGTGTCATCCAGGGGATTACAGCAAAAACATGTCTGAGTCACCATATCTAAACAGGGATTATAAATTAGAACACTGCTGTAAGATTTAGGAGGCTGAGGTAGGACTGCCAAGTTCAAGCCAGCATGGGCAACCTGGCAAGCCTATCTTAAAAATAAAAAGTGCTAAAAATGCAGCTCGGTGTCAAGATCCTAGGTTCAATCTCCAATCATAATATGTACACAAATAGATGCATACATACTAGAGAAAAAAATCACAAAAGCCCGTTTGGCAATGCCCTATACCAGCAGTAACCTTAGGATAGTTGTTAGGCAGAAGTAAACGTTACTATTTCTTTGAAAAGGCTTTCCCAGTAGAGAGAAAACTGTTGTAAGCTATTTTAGTATCTATACCTTAAGATCCTTTTTGTCTGCTGATTGTCTCCAGCCTAAGAGAATTTGGTTTCTTGGTAGTTAGTTGTTGGCAAAGTGGGAGTGGGAATATTGGTCAGACCCACAAGGGCCTCTACTATGGCAAACAGATATGATCTTGGTCCAAATTAATGGACTGACATCCTCATTATAACTTGGTAGATGTGTAGCATATAAAATGGAAAAGAATGATTTAACCTAGGAAGGTTAACTCCTCCTTCCTCTCACAGGCAGTTACAATTCATATTCAAACTCAGTAAAACCAGGTACACTGCCCCATGCCTGTAATCCTAGCACTCAAGAGGCTGAGGCAGAAGGATCACAAACTGGAGGCCACCCTAGATCACTTGGAGAGTTCAAGGCCAGCCTGGACTACATAGTAAGATCCTGTCTCAAAAAGCCAAAATAATAAAGCACACAATCACACATACGCACAAAAATCTGGGACTGGGTATGAAGCTGTATAGTAGAAAGCTCGTCTAACATACATGAGGTCCTGGGCTCAATCTCTAGCACCAAAAAAAGAAAAAAATCATGTTATTAAAAAATTTTGTTTTGAATCTATCTCAGTGTGAACTGAATTCAAGTTTAAAGTCAGAACTCCCTTATTTTTCAAATTCCACATCCTCACTTCATGTCACAGATTTGAACATTAAAATGTAAACCTTAATGTCCTGGCTGAAGTTGCTGATGGTAGGCCATCCTGCGTTGGTCAGATGGTAGTTCACCCATCGTAGCAATAATTCCTCAGGAGAAAGCTTCATCAGTTCTTCTAGTTCTTCACCTTCACTGAGCAATGCAATCAAAGCTAGATGCAAGATAGTGAAATGTTAAGTTTTTCCTGCAGTGAGTATGTATCTATGAAAATTAATTATTTTTGGTAATCTTACCTTCATTCCTAGAAATTTCAATATCAGCAAAAAGACCAACTTTGATGATCTGCCAGAGAAGACCTAAGACCAAGTGAGGCTTTCCTTCTTTAAGATCCTGTGCACCAATGTTGACCACTGTACAACCAATGGCTGAGGCAGAATTCAGGGCTAGGTTTAAATTTTCCTAAATTGACACAAAACAAAGCAAAATATATATGGAAGTTCTTTCTAAAGTCTTATCTACAGGTTATCTACAAGAAACAATGGGTTGCAAAAAAATTTCATTTTTAAACATAAGTAGTATTTATACAACTTAATAACTACTAAAACATTACATGGCTTTGATTGTCATCTACATCTGCATATCCCATCACTTTCAAATATGCATCTCCAGCCTATACCTTCTCTGAGCCCAAATAAGTTCTACCTCAGTGTACACATTTGATTGTGGCCACATAGATGTTCTATGAGTCCCTAAAACCCATTATGTCCAAAATAAGCAAAATTTCTCACCTTGTTTCCCTGATTTTCCTTCCATTCCTGTCAAAATTAATTTTTTCCTATTGATTTACTCTCCTGACTGATGAGAACAAACATCATTCTTGTTCCTAAACCAGAAAGTGAGCAAAACCCTTGCTTTTCCTTGCTTACCATATCTAGTCACCAACTTGTCAACTTGACATTCTAATACCTCTGAAAATCATCAGTACTTTTACTGACTAATTTCCTAACTTTCTAATGACCATCATCCACTTTCTGTCTCCACCGCATCCTCTACAATTCTCTGCTGTCAGGAAAATATAGAGCTGATATAACAAGAATGACTTGTTGGCTTTAGAACCGTCAAATATTCCCTGTCATTACCACTGTCTGTTTGCATTTTATTCCAGCTACACAGGGCCTCTGATTTGGAGTTTCCTCTGCTTAGAACCCTGATTTAAAACCCTGCTCAAGTACACCCAATCTGTGATGCCTTCTCTAGGCATCCTACACAAAATAGCATCTGTGTAGCCCTTGCTGAGACTTGTTACCATATTTCCTACTTTACTCCTTATCTCTCTGACATATAGTATATACTTCTTTCTTGTTATATCTCTCCCAGCTAAAAGTATGAGCTCCGATCTGATAACAGAACCTTTGATCTGTTTGGAGATGCTTTCCAGTACCTAAGCATATCTTATATGCTCAATAAATATTTATTAAATAAATAGATGACTAAGAATGAATGAAAAACATGGAGAGAAAGGAAAGGATCAAGTTAAAACCTTTAGTGAGGCAATAAAAACCCTTCAGGGATTGACTGTGGCCTCAGCTTCTTAACATTTCACATATATGAATGATGCTTTGGCCACGATAGTCTTTTCCCCTTGGCTTATAATATTCCTTTTTCTTCCAATCACATGCTTGTTTCTCAAATCTCTTTCCCTGAATTATTTTCAACACAAAATCAGTCATGCCTTTCCCTAGACTTTTTTTTTTTTGTACCAGGGATTGATTCATGACCTTGCACTTGCCAGGCAGGCGCTTATGCCACTGAGCTAAATCCCCAGCCCTACTTACATATGCACAAAAAGAGGTAAATTATTAACATTTAGATAACTGTCATTTAAATATATTTTAAAGGCATATGCCTCTAGAAATTTCAGTGCCATCAGTTTATTAGTGTTGGATTAATGTTCTTTATTTTGATACTGTCTCTGTTTGGAAGCACTTCAACAAATGATGTACATTTGGGTTTCAATCCCTGAGAATCTTAAAGGTAACTGTTATGATAGGTTTTACAGATGAGGAAACTGAGGCACAGAGGTTACATAGTATCAGACATAATGGTTTCACTTCTGATCTCTAGAGCCTATCCTTTCAATCATCATGTTAATACTGCCACTCTCATTTGGCAGTAACAAGAGCAATTATTAATGTTCTGGTGATAGCAGGAGCTATGCACAGTAGTTTTCAAAACATCATGAAAATTTCAATGGCTTCATTTTTCAGTGTACTGAAACAATTTATCTTGCCAAGCTCCAAGTAAATGGTGTCTCTCATGGATCAATCACAAGTGAGTTAAGTAAGCACTTAAATTATTTTTGTAGTAGTATTAAGTAATGTTCTTTTAAAGGCAGTTCTCTTGAAAGTAGCAGCAAAACCAAAACATCCTTTTTAACATCTTTAAAACCTTGTAATTCACCACACATAAGTGTGATTTTCAATACAAAAATACATTAAGTGGCAAATACAGAAGTCCTAGAATACTTTTAATAGCTTCAAATGCTTTTAAGGTACTCTACATCAAATCAATACAACTTTTCAGAGACAATCTCTGCAAACTAAAGCTTAACCACTAATATTTTTCTATCTTTTCTTCACAAAGCATAACATGTTTGTTCCACTTGGGATTCCCCAGATTAACAGAGGGAAGAACTGGGCTAAAAACTATGTATTATACAGTAGCCTACTTTATGAGCACTAGGATGGAACTGTTTAAAAAAAAGCCTATAACTTCACTCAATTGACTTTCATAATGAATAAGAATGAAAATTTTCTATCACTGTTCTCAGCCTGGGAACTGACAACCGAAACACTACTATCTACTTAATACGATTCTCTGCGTTATTCTTCTGGTCTTTACTGGCATCCCTTTACTATCCCTCTGTCTTTATTAGCATGATTTTATTCTTCCTAGCAAAAAAGTGCCTGTTTACCACAGGCACTGCCTAAAAGACTCATTAGCCCTTTAGTGGAAATCAGGAAGGGACACTTAACACGCCAAAATTCTTTCGCCTCCTCACCCTGAAAACCTCCACTTGTTCCTTCTACCTGCAGTCTTGGCATGTCATTCTGAGATCCTCACTCATCTATCTCAGGCTCCTCTTAGCACTTCTCTCACACTAAAAGCCCACCTTATACCACAGTTCCAATTTTGAAATTCTAACCTTACCTTCCCAGCTCCAAGCCAGTGCTAAAACTTTGTAGATGTTGTTTTGTCTTACTAGAGTAAGAAGTAACTCAGTTTTGTCTTTGTTGTGATAGGGATACAAGAGAGAAGCCAGCACTTGTTATTTTTTAAATGTTGGCTGTATATACATGTACATCAAGTGTCTTACAAGTAATCAGCTTCAAGAAATAGATTAAAAGTAAAGAGTTGCCATATACATTCTATTTCTATTTGGTAAATACTACACTACTGGTCTACAAATTCATAGGGAGAGGACCACCACTGTTACTTAAAGCCACTGCTAAACACGTGAAGGAGACCTCCAGAGACAAGCTGTTCTCCAATTTTACTATGGATAACTTCCCTGAGTGTCCACCCTTCCTTCTAAGAACTTATTTTGGTGGGAAAACATAAGAACAATGGGAAACCATAAACAACTGGAACATGAGAGAGGTGTTTCTCTGCCTTCACTGTCAATCTGTAAAACACAGAACCCAACTTCATGGGTACTGACAAAAGAAACAAGGAAACATGGCAGTTTAGCTTGTATTACCAATCCATTTTCTCACATTTTGTTTTTGTATAACAGTCTAAATGTTTTGACATACTGTTGTATAAGATGGTTTCTTATGTTTCTTTTATTCTGTTTAACTAACCATCTATTTACTAACATTCTCAAAAGAATGTATTTTAAATTTTCTTTATTTCCCACCACTTTGAAAATTTTCATTTCCCATAAAGGTTCAATTTTCAAACAAATGCACTTTGTTAATGATTTTTATAGGGCTGAGCTATATATTTACTACATTATTAAGAATAAAGGTATGATTTGTTACTCAGGCTTCATCCTTATTTTACACAACACCATTTTTAGTCCATTAAAGAATGTTCAAATGAGATTTATCATATTTTTCTCCTTAACTGTTATTGTATGTGGGGAAAAATTAAGGTCATATGTGTATGTATTTATATGTAAGTATGAAATATAAAATATGTACTTTTTATGTATGAGTATATTCATTGCAATAGATTTTGATAACATTTGGTAATGAACAGATTCAATTTCCTATAACTAGCCTTGAATTGATTTCCTGGCTTTTTGGTCTCAAAGTCACTACCAACTGTTTTGTAGTTTTATTGATATATATATATATATTTTTTTTTTTTTTTTGAGACAGGATCTTGCCTCAAACTCAAAGCGATCTTCCTGCCTCAGCCTCCCTACTGTGGGATTACAGGCATGTACCATTAAGCCCAGCCTTGCTCTTGCTTTCATAACTACTATACATAATTATTTTTATCTTTTTCTACTTTCATATATCATGATAACACAGAAACCTATCATCCTAAGGTCAAAAACAATATTACTACAATCTTACAGTCTTTGTTTGTCGAGACAGAGTCTGGCTTTGTAGTTTAGGCTGGCCTTGAACTCACTGTGTAACCAAGGCTGTCCTCAAATTCACAGTGATCCTCCTGCCTCAGCCTCTGAGAGCTGGGATTACAGGTGTGCACCACCACATCATCGATCTTATGGTGCATTTAAAATGCATTTTAAAAATGCATTAGGTATTTTGGGATAAAGTTTCCTGTGAAACTAGTACTTTTTCTAGCAGACTCATTATTCTGAGTTCTAACTGAACAAACAAGACAGATTTAATGAAGGAAATCTATTAATAGTTGCTCAGTTTTAGTAATTATTGTTTTAACTGCATGTTAATAGTTGGCATTACTAACATCAGAAGAGTGGCAGCCTAGTGTAGCAATGAGGGATGCCTCTGGATTCCCCTGGGATCGTACCCCTGGCTCTGCCACTGTATGACCTGTGCCTCAGTTCCTTATCTGTAATTTCATACTATATACCTTATAATGAAGCTGACTCCTAGTAGTAGTCAAGGAAATAATTTCACATAGTGTGTTTAGAACAATAACTAGTACCTAGTGAATATCTGATAAATATTAATATCTACTCATTTGTATACAAATTTTTAAGGAAATAATGTTATAACTTCAGATTCTTAGACTTTAACTGTATCTGTATGGAGAAGATGACACAATACAATCTTGTTCAAAAATAATAAAACTTCTGTGAAATGGTAAGACATGATAAAACTATTCAGTGTTCATTTTTCAACTAACCAAGCACACTAGCATTGCGGCTGGAAATTTAACTCAACAGTAGCATGTACAATGTTCAACACCACAAGAAAATAAAAAACTTCTAGCATCAAATAAATAATAATCAAATAACTCAATATTATAACAATATAAATTGAGTATATTAGCTTAACGAAATTTATCCAAGATACATAAAAATCTTAATTTCATTCATTACAAAATGCAACTGAATTTTCCAAGTTTTTATAATAAAGCAATTTTATTAAATCAGAATTTTAACATGGACCTCAAAATCCATTGACAAAGGCTTTAAGCTGTATTTTGTAACCTAGTAACATATTTCTAGTAAAGAGCAAATACTTACAGAAACAGTAAAAGGAGTAAGCTTTTTCTTATTAATGGCTCTTTCATCAATTGTATCTGGTTCAGATAAGTTGATCATTTTGCTAAGGAGAAAAATGGGAATGACATAGTTTCAATTTTCCGAAAATATTTTTTGTTTATTTTTGCAAGCAGCCACAATAGTAAAATTTTGAAAAAAATCAATACCTTTAAACTATAAACTCATGTCAGGAACTTAATTTCTAAAATCTAAGAAATATTTCCTACTCTAAAACAAATCTATCATTTAGTGCAGTAATCTTAGCATTTATGCCTATTTTAACCATCTTATACTTTCTTAATGTAGTTCTTCTCTTGATTTCATTTAATCATTGAAATTCTCAAGAAGCAAACTTCCATGAAGTGGTATCAATATTGTTTATGTACTGTTGTTGCAAAATACAAGGAGCCAGAGACTTCAATAATTCAGACACTTTTAAAAGAATATATGACTTTTGTTTCTATTTTTTAGAATGTATTCGTCTTTTAAAACTAAAATAGGAAAATGAAGGTCAGAAAAAGTAGATGGAGTCAAGACCTATTTTATACATAATATCCTAAACACTGATAACTATTCATGGGTAGAAACTTGTTTTGTTTTTCTTTTTAAGTAAATACACAGAAAAGACTATTGAAAAAGCACTAAGATAATAAAAACAGTTAATAATGGGTCATAGGAATATTTGTGATGGTTATTTCTTCTTTAAAAGTCTCCTGTCTCTTATAAATTTTTAAAAAGTCTGCTTTGTATAAAGTATTCTGGTACTACACTAAATAGTACAAAGACAAAGACATGCCCTTAGAATTCACAGCATAGTGCGAACAGACTGCGAAGAACAAAAGCTGCATTAAAACATTTTCACTTCATAATTGAAGTCTGTCTTAGTTTTACATTTCGTGATGTTCTTTTCCCAGTCAGTTCAGTAGTCAACACTTCCTCAATAGGAAGTGATAAAAGAAAACATAAACATTTAAAAGTGATCTAAGGACTAATTCAAAAGCTTCCTGCCATTATTATGGTAATATAATAATACTTCTAAGCATTATTATGGAAATATAGTAATATTTTCTGGCATTAATATATGTAAAAAGAACTTAAAAAATAAAGGATTGTATTAGAAAGTAGATTTTGGAAAACATTTAAGATCTATGTAGCTAATTCAAAAAAAACAGAAATTGGTAAATTGTAGTTTTCATGGAATGTTCGTCAATGGGGACATTGAGAGCATGGCTTTGTAGCTCAGCACTGAACTCACCAAAGAAGGATGCCATCTGCAAGTGATCTGAAAAGACTGCCATCATTGGGATTCATGGGCAAAAGATGCTTACAGTCAGGGTCATTTTCTAGGGCTTTGTTAATCCAGTTAACAAAAGCCACTTTTTCTTCCTCTGAAAACAGAAAATCTTTGTAGGCAAACCTCATTTCACAAAATTTATCACAAAACAAAAATATACTGCTCAAAGATAGCAAGCGACTATTATTAAAACTCTACTCAAACACTAAAAGGTTTAAAACAGGTTGCTCATTTCACTTTTTGATCAGACTATTAGGAGAGGAAGGAAGACGTGTATCTTAAATGGGCACAATAAATATTTCGTTTGAGTGTAAAAGTTTTCCAAACATTATTTCATCTGAAATCTAATGAACCAGAAGCAGAACATCAGAGGTTTTAAAAAAAAAAATACACACACACATGCTCACAAATACAAACAGATACTTAAATAAGGGGGAAAATACTCCCCAAATAGATCTTTAGATCTAAGGCAATAAATCCTATCCCCTAAAAAATATTTAGAAAGCTGTGATTTTAGGCTTACAGCAAATACACAGGATTTGCTCCTTACACACATATGCACACACACAGAGTTATTGAAATGACTAGAATAACTCCATTTCTAAGAAATTTTTACAGTAGAAAAACTATCAAAGCCAGTTACCAGCACTGCCCTTAGTTATCAGGGCGGCACATGTACTCTGCGTTAAGTACATTGATCTGTAGACAGAAAATGTTGCTGGGCTATTCAGTACAGAGTGGGAAGGAACTTAAAGTAAAAATGCTCTATAGCTTTATCATTATGTAAACATAAGAAAGTATTTAACAATGTACAATATATTTATTTATTTATTTATTGAACTCAGGACCTTGTGCTTCCCAGGCAGGTGCTTATCCCCAGCCCAACAATGTAAAGTTTAAAATAATTAATCTCTGTTTCCATCAGAGGGTAGCATATATGACCTGGCCTACTCCATTTTTATCACATTACCTAGGATTAGGTAATTTCTTAACGGTATATTTGGCAGATACCCTCCAAATTTAACCCATCACCACACACAGTAAATAAAGACACAAACTTTTACTAGTATTTCCCACTTTGTACATACAAAACCTGTCTCTTATCTACTTGCCACAACCTATAAATGTCCTTAGAAAGACTTAGAAGTTTAGGGATTTAAAGATCACTAAGATATTATACTTGCCATCAAGAATTTCAGTGTAATAATAAAAGAAAGAAATGTAACATAAATGAAACACTGCACATATAGGGTACAATGTTTTAAATTTTTAAAGAAAGAATCACTTTGATTGAGTTGATCAAGAAAAGGTTTTACAGAGCAGGTGTGGTGGCACATGCCATAATCTCAGGAGGCTGAGGCCAGAGGATCACTTGAGCCAACAAGACCAACCTGAGGAAACAGGAAGATGCCCATCTCAAAAACAAAATTTATAAAGAAAATACTATTTAAAAGATAGAAGGTGAAAATGGGGAGATATTTTAGACATAGGAGCCAGGAATAAGACACCAAGTCATAACCACTGGAAATATTTTTTAATGGATAATATCAAGTATTGTTGAAGATACAAACAAAACAAAACAAAAAATTCTCATGCATAACTGTTGGAAGTGTAAAGCAGTAACCTGGAAACAGTAACTCTGAAAACAATTTGCCAGTCCTTTTAAAAGTATCAAATATATACCTACCAAAAGATTTAGGAATTCCATTCCTATATATATACTTAAAGAGTATTTAAAAATTAAGACCACTCTATAAAGGTGAACACAAATGTTCATACATTATTTTTCATAAAAGCCCAAGAAAAGAAACAGCCCAAATATTCATAAAGATTTTTTAAAAATGTGAAGCCAGCCATGGTGGTGCACACCTATAATCCCAGCACTCAGGAGGCTGAAGCAGGGGGAGCGTTGTGAGTTCAAAACCAGTCTGAGCTACAAAATGAGCGGAAGGCCAGCCTGAACTGCATAATGAGACCCTGTTTCAAAAAGACCAAAAAGAAATAAACAAACAACAAAAAAGTGACATTATTCTTAGAATACTCAGCATTCAAAACAAGACATATGTTATAACATGGATGAACCTTTAAAAATATGCCAGGAGGGAAATCTTTGTAAAATGAAAAGCCACTGCAGTATGATTCCATTTGCATGAAATTTCCAGAATAGTCAAATTCATAGAAATAGAAAGTAGTCTAGCAGTTGGGAAGGTTTCTGGAAGGTGGAAATGCAAAATGACTACCAATGAGTTTGGTAGTTTTTCTGGTGTAAGTAGCAAATTTTGAAATTAAATGGTGATAACAATTGCACAAGTCTACTAACATATTAAAAAGTACTGAATTATACACTTTTTAAAAGGGCTGAATTTCATAGTAATCCAGTTGTATCTCAGTAAAGCTGCAAGCTTTTAAAAGCCATTAAATGTTCTATATTGTTTCCTGGGTAGTATTTACATGAGTGTATTCATAGATTAAAAAAAAAATCAAGCCACACACAAGAGTATACAGTATGCGGTTTATATTTTATGCTAAAATAAGCAAGCAAAAAATGTCACCTTAGACAAATGATTACCTCTGGGAAGGAAATGTCATTAACAGGGCATGAGAAGGCCACACAGGTGATAAAATATTTCACATCTTCATCTAATTGGGAGCTACGTGGATGTATATACACATGCAAAAAGTCACTGAGCCATATACTTAAGATTATAGCACTTTTGGCCACCAGGGGGCCCTTTCCTCTGCGCCCAGCATGGGCAGAGAGAACCAGGAGAAGGCCAGCCTCTGCCTACCAGGCACTGCCACTGGAAAGCCCTTTCCTCTGCACGCCCAGCATGGGCTGAAGCAGACAAGAGACCCACCTCTGCCCACTGTGCACCACCACCAAAAGGTTACATCCTACAGGCGGCCAGTGTGGGCAGAGAGAACCATCAGATCCACCTTAACCTTCAGGGAGCTGCCACTGGAAGATTCCTTTTGCAGGCAGCCAGCAGGAGCAGGGACACACAGCCAGGTGAGTCCTGTGCATCTGTAGACCACCATTTGAGGCCCTTGGTTTCCTCAGACAGCCACCCCTCCACTAGCAGAATCAGACAAACACAACTGTGTATGGCTGCCACCATTGTAGGAGTTCCAGTGTAGACACACAGGCTGAGAGAAACAGTCCCATTTACATGCACCCCTGATCATCAGCGAGAGCCCAGTGTAGCTCTGGAGAAGCCAACTCTACACCCTGCTACCTTCCTGTAATTCTGGAATTAGAGGAACCCAGGTGCCTGTCCCATCCCCCTACACTGCCTAGGGGCAGCCAACACAGGAAGTACCTGGAACCCCACAACCAGCTTGCTAGGAGGAACCCAGGAGAATGTCAAGACAAAGGAACAAAAGGCAAACTCAGACCTCCAGCCCATACACAATAAGTCTGGGAGATATGGTCATGGAAGTCACACACCTGAAATCTCTGAGAGGATAGCAACTGAAGTAAGGAAACAACTTCATGAGATTGTAAAATCAGAAATAATGTCTCAGGTAAAGAAAGAAAACACAAACATACTGAAAGAACTGTTCAGCAGGTCTAAAGAAGACAGACAATAAAGAAGAGCATAGGAAAACAATGGAAATCTTGATTGAATGTAGAAAGGAATTACAATGCATGAAACATTCAAAGAAAGATGCAGGAATTTAAAAATTCAATCGAAAGCTGGTAAAACCACTTAAAAGAAACTGAAGATAGACTTTCAAACCTTGAAGACAGGATTGCAGCTAGTATCGTGAAAGGAAAGATCTCTTAAAAAAAATAACAGAATCAGGAAATAACAACTCAATGGCTGCAAGATGATGCAAAGAAGCATAATTTAAAAGTGATAGGTATCAATGAAGAAGCAGGGGTCAACACAAATGAAATTAAAAGGATATTCACAGAAATAATAGAAGAAAACTTCCCAAATATGGGAAATGGATCTGGCATGCAGATAAGTGAGGTATACAGGACTCCAACTAGCCATAACCCAAGTAAATCTACACCCAAATATATAATAATCAAGATCTGAGAAATTAAACACAACAACAGAATATTAAAAGCTGTTAGAGAAGAGACAGATCACCAGTAAAGGAAAACAATCACTATCACTGCAGACTTTTCAACACAAACCATCAAGTCAAGAAGTTTGGAGTGAGGTGCTTCAAACCCTAGGAGAAAACAACTTCCAACCTAGACTGATCTACCCAGTAAAACCATCTTTCAAAATGGATAGAAAAATAAGATGATAAAGATGAAGTTCTTCCATGATAAAGAACTGAAGGAATTCATGACTACCAAACCAACCCTAAAGAGAGTGCTAAAGAATATTCTAGGGAGAGATAAAGATGACCATGGTTCCAGGAACAGCAGCAGAGGAAGATCGCCAAACAAGACAGGCAGTTGAATGAAGGGGAGAAGTGGAGGGCCAACAACAGGAGGATAGCAGGGCAGAGACAAACCAGTGTATGCTGGTTGTAACCATTAATGTAGATGGCCTCAGGTCAGCAATAAAAAGAAACACAGGGAGAGTGGATCAAGAAACAAGATCCTTTGATATACTGTATACAAGAAACACATCTAACTGTAAAGGAAATTCACAGAATGAAAAGAAAAGAAAAGAAAAAAGAAAGGAAAGAATTGTTCTATGTGACAGGAAACCAAAAAAAAAAAAAAAAAAGCAAGACTAACTTGCCCATCAACCATAGAATGGATAAGAAATATATGATATTTTCATGCAGTGGAAAGCTACCCAGCTATAAAGTAGAATAATCTCAAGGCTTCTGTAGGTAAATGGACATAACTGGAAATCATGTTCATAGCCAAAACAATTCAAACTCATACACGTGAACCCTAGCATAAGAAACAGGAGTTAATTGGATCCAAAAGCAAAATAGTTAATGGTAAGGGCAAAGGGGAGGAAACACCTGAAAGGGAAAGGTGGAAACTACTATCAATTTCTTATTGTCTTATCTTGAACTCTCACATCGTTTACACAATTTTGTTAAGTTTGGCTTTGTTCTGTCTTGTTTTGTTAGGTTTTATGCTGTCAGATGGTAGAGGCAGTTATTTTGAATATAATGGGATATATTATGGTAATCATGGTTTCCTATTATATTGCTTTGAAGTCTTATTGCTTTCATTCATTGGTTGATTGATTTTAAAATGTTTGATTTTATTATTTGTGATGGTATGAACAGCTATTTTGAAGAAAACGATGTTATCACAGCCATTGCTGATTTACTTGAAGTCCTAACATGCTTTTGTTCTTGTTTTGATTGGCTCTATCCTATTGTGTTTTCATTTTATTATGTGTGATGATATAAACAAATTTTTAAGGAAAATGAGATATTATAGGAGCCATTTTTCATTTCCTGTTATTTGGTTTTAAGTCCTGTAATGCTTTCATTCTCTTGAATGGGTCTAACTATTTTGTTATGTTTGACATTGTGTGTGAAGGCAGGCTTAACTATTTCAAAGAACAGAGACATTATGGTAGCTATTGTTGATATCTGGTTGTCTTGTGAAGTGCTGTGTTACTTGCATTGTTTTGTTCTGTTCTCTTTTGTTTTATTTGCTTTAAAATAAAAAAATTTTAAAGAAAGATTATAGCACTTTCATCAGTGTGTATTTTATTTTATTTTATTTTATTTATTTTTGTCTTTTTAAAACTTATTTCAGTAAAATAAACAGGCAGAAACTTAGGTAAAGGATAAGTACATTTCAAAAAGTAGAGGTATCAATTATAGACTACATCCTTTAATACTACTTCTCTAGTGGAAAAAGGTTAAGAAAAAAATACAATGAATAGGAGAAACTTGAGCATATCATTTGAGGAAAATCTAGGAAGAGAATTAAGAGAATAATTAACAGATTCAGATCTCAAAGGAAGAAAGAAGGAAAAAAGTTCTAGGAAATTTTGTCAAAAATTTCAAAAGCTTAGTGCTAAGTATGTTCCTATGAATAAAAAGCAAGTTGGCCAAAGTTTCTGAGACATCTTGACCCTGAGAAGTAAGCTTAATAAGGAGTAAGACTCCTTAGCTTACGAGTTATGCGACTCTGGATTTCCCACTGGGCAGCAATCCAGTGATTCTATCAGATCAAGCAAATCAGGTGCTATGTTCTCTAATCATTTGTTTGATTAAAAAATGAATCAAATATCTCAGCACCTGGCAAATGGAAGGGGAAAAATCTTTATAGTAAGCCTCTCTACCATTCCTTGATGAAATCTAAATATAAAGCCACCCTACCAGTCAGGATAAAAAACCCATTCACAAGTCATGACTAACCAAGTGCTAAAATAGAAGCTTTCATATTGTTTTAATTTCTTTGATGAACCTGACACACTGTATGAACTTACTGATTTTAGGACTTTTTATTTAAACAGCTCTAACACTGAGATACACTTTAAATTTGACGTCATGTTATAACTTAGTCAGGATTTTTTTCCCTCAATGATACATAAAATAATGGTAATAATCACAATGAAGAGCATCGTATGTAAGAACAAATGGGCTCTTAATGAATCAGTGACTAAAAGATCAAATTGGAGGGCTATTACCTGAGTAAGAATGCTGTGTGCCCTCACTGGAAATGGATGAAGTTCCTCCAATAGCAGTGATTCCTTCCCTCTTGTTAATTATTTTTCGGAATGTTTTGCTGATATCTTTGCTTTTAAGCTCTTGCATTAGCTGGAATAAAATACAAGTAAAACTGAGATTTGATCACATAATCATAAAAATTTGGTGGCAGAACATTTATTTAGACATCCTTATTTGAAATGACACAAAAATAAATATAAATGAGGTGTTTCCATAGTTAGTGCTTGTGTACACAGATAATCATGTCACTTACCAGTAAAACAAAGTGGACAAATGTTTGTGTCCCGCCCTGAAAGAAATTCTAACTTGAATTTAAACTGAACACACAAAATTGTTCCTACTGACTGGACATGACCTTTTCACTGAAAACCTAAGAAATAACCACATGATAAAGATTTTTAACATGCCTTCTTGAAGTCATTTTTCTGCCTACGTATCCCAAATTCATACACGTTAAAGTAGGTCAGGCATGTTAGGAAATAACATAGACTTATACAAACTCCCTTTCCCACTCTTACTGAACTCTCCTGAGACTGGCAAGACTGAATTTGGTCACTGGCCCAGTAATTTGTATTTTTTTAATGCATATCTAATCATGTCATTTTATACTGTATTACTCCTACTTCCTTGACTTCCTGTTGGTCTTAGTATAAAAACAAAACTCTTGGAAGGGCCTGCATGACCCGATCCTTTTCAAACTACATTCTTTATTCTTACAATCTCAGCTCCAATCACAACAGCCCTTTCTCCAGGTTGCTTAAAGAGCCATCCATTATCCACAAAGCCACAGCCTCTACAAATGCAGTCATCCTTATCTGCTTTACAGTATTCTTTCTTTTATGGTTTTTTGTTTTGTTTCATTTTTCTTCACAGCAAGGTCCTGCTGTGTATCCCAGCCTGGCTTCAAAATACCAGTCCTCCTGCCTCAATCTCCCAACTGCTGAGATCACAGATGTGTGCCACCATGCTTGGCTTCACATTAGTCCTCCTGACTCCCTCTGTCCACTTAATAATCTTTCTTCAGCTCTCAATTCAGTCTTCACAGCTTAAGGGATACCCTCCCATGCTCTCCAGTCTCCCCCTCTAAGTTCAATTCCTTCTACTACAAACTCTCATTGGACCTTCACTACTCTGTCATAGCAATGACCACAGTTGATATCTTCCTCTCACTCATTTCTCTGATTCTGCCTTCCCTACCCAAAGTAAACTCCATGAAAGCAAAACCATGTCTCTTTTGCTCATTACATTATTCACAGTGCCTAGAGTTTAAATATTTGCTTAGTGAATAAAGACTACAAAACCAGATAATTTATATTTCATAAATATTTATTCAGTTATATTAATGAGCATCAATAAACACTGAATTCATATATAATTATTCCAGAGCATGAAACACTATTATCTAAAAACACAACTTCCATTCAATGGTATTTCCCTTTGTTTTACAAATTATTTGTGGAAATAATTATTTCTCCAATAATAACTGTTGTTAACATTATCATCAGTTTAAAGGAATGTTTTTTTTTTCCCTCTACAGCCAAATATAGCTATATCATTATTAAAATTCTTGAAGCAAAAGGATCAGTAGCTGGAGAGGATCTGAATACTTACTGACACGAATTCTTCAAAACTGATTTTGCCATCTTTATTGTTGTCAGCAACTGCTAGAATTTTCTCCACGATCTCGCGCACTTTATAGCCAGGAAGAGGAAGGCTTGCTTCCTTAAATAGGTCCTGAAGTTCATAGTCACTCACATATCCACTGTTGTCAATATCTGTAGCAATACATTATGAGCTGTCAAATATTTGTACTGCAGAAGATGTGTACTCAGCCATACAGACGATTCACATGCATGCAAAACCTTTCTAAGTTTGTTTCACAAGTGTCAGTAGCCTTTTTCCCGCACCTGAACTGTCCAGGCTGTGCTATATGATTTATCAAAACACTCATATTTCAGTAGAATTCATCTCCAGAGACTTAAGGCCTCTACATTATTAAGTATATAGTAGAAACAATGCTCTGCCAAACTCAGTTTTATCACATGACTAAGTTTCAAAGAAATAAACCTGGAGAAGTCTCAGATACCGAAAAGAAATATATCAACAGTGTTCAAGAGGGAACACTCATCTGAAAGTTGCTCAATAAATTAATTAAATTAACTTATAAATTAATGTGCTGCCCCCACACTCCATATAAAATACGTGTATCGTGTATTTTCATTCTACATTTCACGTGGCAGTTCATTTGTTAATAATTCATTACTTCATTACATATTTATGATACCATTATGTATACTGAATCATGTTTGATGTCATTTTGAGATCAGGTGTTCCAGAAATTTCATACTTATACATAGCCTTTTGGAAACAGGTTTCTAGGTATTTTCACATTATCACTGAAATGTCTTTCCCTGGGTTTTCCCTTGAGACTGGGTATCACTTCTTGACTCAGAACAAAGGTAACACAAAACACTGCTGCCCACAGTTGGCAACAGAGCTATGAACTGTTTCATTGTTGCCTGGATCCGCCTGGTATAGATTCTCTCACTCATCTGCTAATAGCTGCTTGTTGCTGTATTTCTTTTTCTTTTCACTAAAAGAGCTGTCATCACTCTAGCTGAATTAATGGTAAGGACAGGAACTTATCTTCTGAACTCTAATGTAAAAGTATATTGTTACAATCGCAAGTCATCTAGGAACCTGAATTAATTGATATTTCAACCATAATAATGCTTTATTTGAATTTGGCACAAATCCTCATTATTATTATTATTATTATTATTATTATGATTATTGGTCTTTTTCGTTTTTACCAGTACCGGGGATCAAACTCACGACTGCCTGTTTGCAAGGCAGGCACTTACGCCACTGAGTTAAATCCCCAGCCCCTCAAATCCTCATTATTAATATATCATTAATTCAGAAATGTTTACCATAATTCTGAAACATACAAAAAATACTATGTATGTTTATTTCTGTACTACCACTGTAGTGGGAAATTTTTAAAAATTTTAAAAACTGAGGAAGTTATTTAGCTTCCAAACATCATGTTAAACTAAAATGTTTAAATAGTTAAGACCTGAAGCTTTAAAAATGGATAGATTTGTGTGCTTACATTCTAGCTCCATCCCTGCAACGTCTGTGGTTTTGGTGTGATGTAACAAGAACTAATAGGTACCACTTAATGAGTATATATTCTCTTTCAAGTGATTTGTTAATAACTTTACTTATTAAATCTTTATAACTTTGAAGTAGTCACTAATGTCATTCTCATTTTAAAGGTGAGTAAATACCGACTTAGGTTAGACAACCATAAAGATTATGGGTTGAAAAGAAATAAGACTTAGTTACAAATAACAACAGCAAAACTAGATTAAAAAATAGGGCAGGGCTGGGGATATAGCTCAGTGGCACAGCACCTGTCTGCCAAGTGTGAGGTCGGAGTTTGATTCCTGGTACTAAAACAAAATAAAACGGAGCAAAGGGCTTGAAACATTTCTCTAAAGAAGACATACAAATGGCCAATCGATACATAAAGAGCTGCTCAAGAGAAATACAAATCAGAACTACAAAAGATACCACTAGACACTCAGGAGGATGGCTATTATAAAACAAATGTACAAGAAAAACAAAAATAGAAAATAAGTGGTGAAGACAGAGAAACTAAAATCCACGTGCACTGCTGGTAGGAATGTAAAAAGATGTAGCCACTACAGAATATAGTATGATGATTCCCTGAAAAATTAAACATAGTTACCACATGCCTCAGTAATTCCACTTGTAGGTATACACTCAAAAAAGTTGAAAGCAGGGACTTCAATAGGTGTTTGTATAGCCATGTTCATAACAACTTTATTCACAATAGCCAAAAAGTGCAAGCAATTTAAATGTCATAAGCAAACTGTATGTAGACATGGAGTATTATTTAGCCTTAAAAAGGAAGGAAATTCAGGCACATGCTACAACATGAATGAACATGGAAGACACAATGGCAAATAAAATAAGCCAGTCACAAAAAGACAAGTATGATTTTATTTATAGGTGGTAATTAGAGTGGTCAAATTCCTATGCACAAAAAATAGAATGGTGGTTTCTAGGGGACAAGAGAGATGGAGAGGGAGAATTCTTATTTAGTCAGTATAGAATTATAGTTTAGGAGCACAGGAAAGAGTTATGAAAAAGAATGGTGGTGCCAGATGCAGAACATTATAAATGTACTTAATGCCACTGAACTACACTTAAAATGACTAAAACCTTGTATTATTATACATATTCTACCACAGTTTTTTATTCATTTTTAAAATTTGTTTAGTGCTAGGAATCAAACTCAGGACCTCGCACTTGCCAGGTTGCTGTCTACCACAGATTTTTAAAGGAAGCAAAATGACATCTTTCAACTCCCAGCTTTCCCACAGTGACCCAAAAATACTCTATCTAGTAAGAGCAGGTGAGTATACCCCTCTATCTATAAAAACAGTTGTTTGGTACAAATTAGCAGGTGGGTTGCTGAGTTGATTAGCTATAGTTTATCTTGTTTTTTAAAAAAAGCAAGTACATATTGTATTAATGTTAACAATTCCCTCAATGTTAACAATTCCCTCACATAAAAAAAATTGTTTTGTTGTCAGGATTATTCTTTCAGTGAACTGTTTGTTCAAAATTTCATTGATTAAATATTGCAAGATTCTACGCCCATGAATCATAAATGTTAAAGTTGGTATGTTCCAAACAAAGAAAATAGATTACTCATCCATTCACATTTACTAAGACCTGCACAGCCCACACCCCCCCCCACTTTTTTTTAACACGTTCCCACATCAAATGACTTAAGTACATAGTAGGAGACCCAGAGTTATTACTTCCTGTCTATGTGCCTGAAATGACAGAACATTTCAGTAACTGCCTACTTTTTGTCTTGAAAAGACCTTGGACACTGAAACCCATTCTCTGTAACATTTATTATGAATAATCTTGAAATCATACACATTGTCACACTGCCCAAATGGTAAATCTGCAAGGAGAAACAAGAGTCTTCTGTGTTTCAGAGCAATGAAATCATAAGATTTTACTTTTTTCTACAAAATCATACTTTTACTTTTTTAAAAAATAAGCTTTACTTTTTTAAATTAAATCTGTTTTCTTTGTAGTGGTCTCTAAAATCCACCCTACATTTCATTTCACCTACATTAATTTTAGTTATTTTCACTAGCTTTGTGAGAAATCTAAGAAACAAGACAAATTGTGATCATTCTATCCTGACTTGCTTTTCATACAGTACTTTACCGCCCAAAGGAAGACACCTGCTGAAGAAGGGACAATGCCACTGCCCCAACTCACTGTGCTCAACTTTCACTTGCACATATTTGCAGACCAAAGGGGGAAAAACATACTTATATTCTCCTTGTTTACCCTAAGTTTCTAAGAGAAAAATGCAGAAGAATTGAGATTCAACACTATAAAGGAAATTTTCTGGAAGAAAAATACAAAGGTGGCAAGATGATAATGTCATGAAGATAAAACACTGAATGGCTTCAAAAAGTGAAAGAAGAAAAACAAGACATAATTTAAAAACAAACGTGTTTTAAATTATACATGAGAAGGAAAACAAGACATAGGCCTCTGACTACAATACCCACAGCAGATTTTTAAAATATTCTTTATGAAGTCAGAAACTGTTCATGTTAGTAACAAAGATATGAAGGCTAGAATTCAGTTAAGTACACAAGGAAATGTTTCTGTATTTTTTCACTGCAATGAGGATTGCATGTTAAGTGTATTCAGTTACACTGTCACTCATTAACCTAGATTATTCTCTGCAAAGAAACTATCAAAGAATTCAAAGTCCAACTCACCTAGAAATTCAAGCCAGTCATTATTTTTCAGAAAGAATCCAGGGACACAGATTTTTAAAAAAGCAATATTCTACTCCTGAAGTCTAACATCAAGCAAAACAATAACATTGTATTTACTTTTCCTCATACCTATTTTATTAAATGCTTCTTGTAGTTCTTCAAGCTCCTCTCGAGAAATGGTAGTGGTACTATTTTCCATCTTAGGTCAGGAAAGACAACTTCAAGTCTTTGTGTCTAGAAAAAGCAGTATTTACAAGAGAACGTTAGTCCTTTGGAAACATTTTTCTAAGAAATATAAGGTACAGACAAGTATATTTTCTGCCAAAAAAAAAATCACCCATAATGTCTGGCTGATAAGAAACAAATAGTAGGTCTCCCAGTAACACTCTCTCCCAGTAGTGGGCTAGCCAACAAGACACTCAGTGTGAGGAAAAAACACCTTTTCCACTTTGTGCTTTCCGGAGGCACAAATCTCTCAGTAGTCTGTGCAATTTTCATTTTCCCTCATCAAGCAAGTTTAAGAAAAGCAGCATTGAAGTAGAAGGCCTGAAAGTAAGATTTACAGATATCAGATATCAGTAGTGTCCACAAAAAGGGTAAAGTTAGCTTAGTCTGCTCATCTAGAGATGGAGTTTGTGGCTCCTTTAAAATAATCCTTCCCCTTCCCTGTGGGAGGTTCTTTCTGGATCACTGGGGCCCTTTTTACTGTGAGTAGAGAAGATAAATAAAAAGAAAAAAAATCATGTAAAATTAGACTATTAGAAAGTTATAAGGTGGTGCTCATTTTTTAAAATAATTGGTAACAAATCCCCCAAACAGAAAAGTAAAGTTACCCATAATAATGCTCTCCAGAGCTTAAATGATGGTTCAGTGAACATCCTTGTAGATAAATCTTTGTTCACATCCATCTTTATTTCCATATGACAAATACTACAAGTGAAATTATATTTTTAATACTTCAGACATATAACAGTGCAACTCTCATTTTTTAAATAACTTAATTATCTACTCAATATAAAGCTAATGTAGAATACAAATTATGTTGTATTCCTCTCAGATATACTTAGTTATATCAGACATTTCTTATGTACCTCAGAAAATAATGGAACATTTCTGCTTTACGAGTCCAGAAGAACTGAAACTAAATGGAAGGTCACCATTTTAAAAACTTTATATGCTTACATATGATTATATTTAAATGAGGTTCAATATCTCACAGTTGTCAGGGAGGCACATAAATTTTCAACATAATTTATTTAGTAAAATCTATCATGGATGACTTTATGTATTTATTTATTTAATTTGGTACCAGGGATTGAACTCATGACCTCATGCTTATCAGGTAGCTGCTTATGACGCTGAGCTATATCCCCAGCCTATATCATTGATCACTTTAAAACCATATTAAATTATATGAAGCACTCAAAGAATATAGCTCTTGTCACTTACAATTTGTATACCGACTTCTTTAGGATTTTTAGTATATTTGCTGCCGAAGTGAGCACTCAAGGACTTTCGATCTTTCAAAGGGATAAAATTTTATCTTTTATAATTTTGCTGGGGAATGAGTCTAATTTAATCTACAATTAAATATTTTTTAAAATATTCTATTGCTTACTATTTAATTCTTCACCATTAAAAAAATCTGAGGTGCTAAGTTAGTAGAGGAATACAACAGAAAGTCAGACTCCCTGGATGCAGTTCCTTATAGCTAGTATTAAATATTCATTATATTGAATTCTTTCTTTGAGAAAGTTTTACTGCAGTTAAAACTACTTACAGGAATAGCTATTATGTGTTGAAAGATGTTGAGCAGTCTTATAAGGATTTTTAAGTGAAATGCTATTTCTGTTGTGGCTGGGTTTTGGTCTTTGTGGTCGTGGTCATCTTCCATATCCTGTCCCTTGTTCTAAATGGCTTGTATATCTTGCTTCCATTTTTAAAAATAGTGGTCCAATTTTAGCATTTGCATTGTACAGAAAGGCTGCAAACTAACAGTCCTTGTGCTAATTTTGCAATTTTAGCCATCATCATTTAAATTTATGAAACTTGTTAATTACCAAAAAAAATTTTTATTCTCCCCTAATCAGTAAAACCAAAATGTAAACTTATTTAAAAAGCAATTTACCCACATACTGATAGGTTTTCAATTTTTTAAGCTTTGTTTCTATATCTAATAAATATAAAAATGTTGGATTAAGTCCTTTAGCATTTAAATGACACAAACAGAAAATACAAAATATCTTAACCTGCTTTAGTTTGTTTAATCTAAACATAAATGAAGATATGGATAACTGCATGTATGTTTAAGTGTATAGAATTGACAACCATGTTACTAAGTTTTTGTTGGGCAGTTGAACAGAACTGTTTGCAGTCTCGCTGTTTGAATTCCCACTTTACATGTTCCAATTTTGTATCTTGTACAACTATTTGTAAAATGACAATATGTAAACATCAACTAGTGATTTCTTACCGTTTATTTCTTTCTCTAAACGTATGTATTATTTCTACCTATTTTCTGTTTTGTTTAGTGTTTCTTTAAATAAAATTTTTTAAAAAATACAAAATATCTGGGGCTGGGGATTTAGCTCAGCGGCATAAGGACCTGCCTTGCAAGCAGGCAGTCGTGAGTTCGATCCCTGGTACCGATAAAAACAAAAAAGACAAAAAAAAAAATACAAAATATCTTCAAGATATACTTTTTCTTTAGGGAGGGTGTTTGTTTCGCTTCGTCTTTGTTTTTGAGACATGGTCTAGCTATGTATGCAGATTGGCCTTGAACTCACTTTGTAGCCCAGGCGACCCTTGAACTTGTGATGATCCTCCTGCCTCAGCACTCTGAGTCTTGGGATGATAGGTGTGCATCATGCCCCACACTCTTTTTTTATGTCATTTTTTGTACTACCAAGGACTGAAACCAGGCACTCACATATGCTAGCCAAATGCTGTACCGCTGAGCTACATGACCAGCATGTATACTATTAAAATAACAAAGCAAGATGCGGAAAAGTAAGAATAGCAGAGGAATGGAAAAGAGTGGTATCACTTACACACTTATTGCCTTACTTTTCTCACTGCTGAAACAGAATACCCAACACCCAAAGTTAAGGGAGGAAAGGTTTATTTGGCTCACAGTTTGCAAAAGTTTCAGTTCAGGGAGTCCAGAAGAACATGGCGGATAGATAGCAGCAGCTTCAGAGGCTCTCTGTGAAACCACACTTGAAAACCAGGAATGGTGCTGGGCAGAAAGTCCTAGGCAAGGGGGGATATTCTTTGCTGACCCAGGAATGAACTAAATTAAGAGAAACCAACTGGAAACACAATCCCGGTGATACAGCAGGAACAGATAAGGTCTATAAGCACGGAAGCCGGACCCCGCGCCACTGGAAACTGCGATTTGAATTTCCTGCAGCCACTGCTGCTTCCAGGTTGGCACGGCAGGGAGAGAGGCGTGAAGGCTCTAAGAGTGGGAAGCATTGAATGGAGTTGGGAGCGGGACTGGCCATGTGCCCGGCATTGACCTGCAGTTAGTGAGCGGATCAGGACCCTTCCATAGAGAAGGAGGCTTCAGTGGAGGACATACTCGGACCAGGCAGAAGCTGCAGTGACTTCAGTCACATATCCCCCTCTCAAGCAGGATTGGTGGGGAGTGCCTGGCCTGCGAGACACCGCTGGCTGAGACCCAGTAGGCTAGCCCAACCCAGGTCCCAGCACCTGGAGGTGCACCCTAGCGGTGAAGCCTTCAGTAGGTTGACCTGGAGGGGCGGGCCCAGCATTCTGCCCAGGTCTATGTCTCCCTGGTGCACTGCAGTGGACGGGAACACCTAGCCGGTGCAATTCAAACAGACTGTGGCCAACAGGGAAGGAAGCTGGGCCTCCTATATACGCTTATATAAAAGGAACAAAGAATATGGGAAGAGGGAGCAACAAGAAAGGGTCCTCGGCCCCTAATCCTGAGAAACATGCAATAGCAGACATGGCACCAATAGACATAAAGCGCTATCTCCAGAGCCTCATAGACAAGTTCAGGAATGAAGTATTAACGACCTGAAACAAGATATAAGTAGAATAGTTAGAGAAATGCTAAGCACCGCCCAAGAAAAAACAGATGGTGAACTGGAAGAACAAAAAAAATGGGGAAAATTGTTTGATGGAGAAAATAGAGAAAACATAGAATACGTGAAGCAGGTTCAAAGAGATTACCAGGAAACTAAAAACTCTATCAAAAACTGGCATAGCAGCTTGAAAGAAACTAAGGACAGATTATCTGAACTGGAGGGCAGATTTGTAATATGGGAGCATAAAATGAAAAACTTCTTAAAAATAACCAAAAAACAAACAGCAGCAATACAAAAGCTAGAAGATGATAAGAGGATCTATAACTTAAGAATTAAGAACATAAGAGAAGAAGTGGGGACACAAACAAATGGACTACAAAAGCTATTCACAGAAATAATCCAAGAGAATTTCCCTAATTTAGCAAATGGTAAAGATACTCAGATATATGAGGCATACAGGACCCCAGCCACCTACAACCCAAACAGAGCTACACCCAGGCATATAATAATCAAAATTCCAGAAGTCCAATATAAGAACAGAATATTAAAAGCCGTCAGAGACAAGAAACAGATCACTTACAAGGAAACACCCATCAGAATTACAGACTTCTCGGCACAAACCATCAAATCACAAAGAGCGTGGGGGGAAATAACTCAAGCTTTGAAAGATAATAACCTCCAGCCAAGACTGATATAGCCTGCACAACTGTCCCTAGAAATTGATGGAAAAACAAGGTGCTTCCAGGATAAAGAGGAACTAGAGGAATTTGCAACCACCAATTCAACTTTACAGAGAATACTGCAGGATAGTCTAAAAAAGGAAAATACCAAGATTACAGAAATAGTGGCAGAGAGGCCACAATGAATGGAGCAGAAAATGAAATGAAGAAGACAAACTGACAACAAACGACAGAAAAAGAGCTCAACAGAAATGAGGCAGAGAAGATTGGATGGTAGGAACAGCTATTTTGGAGAAAACAAGACATCATAATAGCTAGTGCTGACTTAATATCATCTTGTTTTGAAGTCCTATCAAACTTGTATTCTTCTGTCTCCATCAGTCTTAAAAGCTTGTATCTTATGGATTTTATTATATATGATAATATAAGCAAAAACTTTTATAGACAAGGAGTTTATATAGAAACCATTGTTCATTTTCTGTTAATTGGTTCTAAAGATCCTGTAATAATGCCATTCTCTTGAATGGTTTTATAGTGTCTTGATATGTTTGGTGCTACAGTATACAAAGTTATACTCAAAGATTTCAAGGAAAGAGACACTATGGTAACTATTTTTATGTCAGGATATTTTGTGGAAAAACACTATTTTGCTTAAATGATTATGTTTTGATCTGCGCCATTCTGTTGTTATGCCCTCTTTTATCTCAATCCCCTTTTTTTAATTATTTACTTTTTAATTTTTTTTAATTACGGGAAAAATAAATAAAAAATAGCAGGATACATTATAGTAACCTACTTTGATTTCCTATTAACTTGATTTGAAATCCTGCATTGCCCTCACCATCTTGTTTTGACTGATTTTCCCCTATTCTGCTTTGCTTGATAGTACCAAGTTCAAAAGTATAGGCATACCTGTGAAGACAATAAGATTCATTATGATGCCCATTCTGGTTGACTATTATTTTCTTTTAAAATCCTGTAATGTCTCCAATGCTTTGGCTTTATTCTTTACTGTTTAGTTCAATTTTATTATAACTGGAAATTCTTCTTAAAATAGCAAGAGGAAGTATGGAAACCATTATTGATCACCTTATATTTTGTTTTTACATTATCTATTATGTCCATCCTTTTGATTTGACTGACTCTGTCCTGATATGTCGCATTTGGTTTTACTCTCTTCAAAAAAAGTAGTAAGAACTGTGGGAGTGATAAAACTCAAAATGTGTAATTGTCATTGTACAAAAGAAAAGAAAAGAAAGTGCTCTAAAGGTTATAACTGCATATGTGTTTAAGTGTATAAGACAGATAACCATATTACTGAGTGTTTTTTGGATCATTGAACAAAACTGTTTGCACTCACACTGTTTGAAAGTCCCCTTTATATGCTTCAATTTTGTAACTTGAACAACTATTTCTAAGATGAGAATATGTAATCTATTAACTAGTGATTTCTTACTGTTTATTTTTTAAATTTTGTATTACTTGTACTCTTTTTCTGTTTTCTTCCTTTTCTCCTTAAATAAAAAGTTTCAGTTCATAGTCAGTTGAATTCAAAGCAGGGTGGCATGACAGAGGGCATCACAGAAGAAAAACAATTCAAGGCAGGCAGAAGGCAGCAGAGCAAGCAATAATTGACAACTGACAACAAGGAATGAACTTCTTTCAGTCCCTTATGTCTTATCCAGGTTACCCACCTAGCATTATTACCTAGATTGTAGCATCATACACCCTATATTTAGCTACCTCTGAAGAGCCTCACCTATGACCACATGAGGCTTAGGGAAAACATCTAAACATAAACTATACCATTCAGGCCTTGGTTCCCCACAAAGACGGATACACATTCTTTTATGCAAAAGAAAGTCCATATCCAAGAGTTGCCAAAGTCATAACAATTTCAGCATTAATGAAAAGTCCAAAGTCTCTTCTGAGATTTAAGGCAAACTCTTAGGTATAAGCCCCAGTACAAATAGAAAGAAAGTTAAACACTTCCAATATTCAATGGCACACAATAAAAATTATCATTCCAAAAGGTATAAATAGGGGAATATAAAGGAATGGGACTAAAGCAAGTCCAAAATCCAGCAGGGCAAACATTTAAGTCCCATCTTCGTATGTGCATCATCCAAGGCAATCTGTGGCAAGATGTGAACTCCAAAGGGCTTGGGTGGCTCCGCCCCTATGGCACTGCCGGTATGTGTAGCTCCCATGGCTTCTCTCTTTGGCCTGTTCTGCTCATCCTTGCATTTTGACTCAGATAATCCACATTCATAGCTTTTCCAAAGTTCTGAGGTCTCCAGAGTACCTTTCACTTCACACTCAAGGGCACACTGCCTACCCTCTCATGCTTTCTTCTGAAATCTGAGTGAAAGCCTTCCTGACTCTCAACTCTTGAATTCTGCATCTACCTAAAACCAACACCACATGGATGATGTCAAGGTCTGCTGCCAGCTGGAGCTTCCTTCTCTTTTGGCTGTGGAGGGCAAGTGCTGAGGGACAATTTCGTTAGGACACAGCCATTGTGGAACAAGGTGCTCTGGTGCTCTCTCCTCAAAGAAAAGTCTTCCACATTTGCAGTTTTGAAACTGAAAATGGTAGAATTCTTCTGCTTCTTATGATCCCTCAGGCCATCTTTTCTATGCTCTTCTTCCTTCTCAGCAATCATGATCTTTGTGGTGTACAGCTTTACTGGGATTTCTTTTCTAGTCAAACTTATGTTTTAAACCATCCTGTTTAGCTCTTTGTTCTTGATTCTCAACACAGATCTAGCTAAAAG